GAAGACCGCGGAGGAGGAGGTCAAAGTGAATGAGAAGATCGTGCCGATCGTTAACTCCGGCGACGCCGTCGAGGCCCTCGAAGCCGACTCGGGCCATTGCGTGGTCATCGGAGGGCATGAAGTCCGTGCCACGATCAGCGAGGAGCCAGAATGCAGGCCCCGGCTCTGGCGTTGGGACGACTGCATCGATCTCTACGACGGGGAGGATGCGTGCTCACCCAATTCCTTTCGTGGGTTTTACATCGAGTCGCTGGATGACGATGACGACGATGAGTCGGAAGAGGAGAAGGTGGAGGAAGGTGGGAATTTGGGGCTGGACGATGCCGAGGAGGAGGAGGAAGAGGCCAAGGAGGAGAGATTCGACCAATGGCTGGAAGGATTCGATAGCCTCGTGAAATGATTAGATAAGGCCCCAAATATGGATGCAAATTCGCCATAAAAAAGCTGTGGATGTGGGAATACAGATAATAAAGGCCACAAAATAATAAAAATTATTGAGAAGTTGGATAATCTTTTTCCACGGAGGCATACAAATATCAGTCCTAATCAAACACGTCAAGACATTAATCAAATCATTTAGATCTTGATGCGCTAATTAGACAAATAATGCACTCTATTTAACAAAGGATTAATGGGTAATGAGTTGACCAGATCATGTGAAGCAACCATCCCCCCAACTCTATTTACCATCGAACGAGGCTTTTTGGTAATAATATTCCAATGAGAAGGATTAGGAGGACTTTTGGCCTAATCGGGGCATCGTATCTAATGATTCGATCGGAAGAAGCTATTAAACATTTCGAAAAGACAGGAAAGCCCCAGTTGGGTCTCACAAATTACACGCCGTCGCGGCTCGCTCCAGGAAGCACCAATCGAAAGCCCTTTTAGGGCAAAAGAGTCATTTCGGAAGTGATAAAATTACGTTTAAGCCCTTGGTGCTCCAAACTCAATACAAAATACCCCTCCCTTCTCTCCCCTCGAGAAGAGCGCGTCTTCGTCGCCATTGTGCTTACGACTCCCTGTAAGCCTTCGGTATCGCAATCCCTCTAATCCGCGATGGGCTCCGAGCTCATCTACCGCGGTCACGACGGCCCGCCGGCGGAGGACGGCGGCGAGTACTCCCCGAGGCCGGAAAAGCGGGTCGTTTGGCTCGCGCGGCCGTTCCGCTACCTCCTCCGCGAGCAGCGCCTCCTTTTCGTGCTCGTCGGGATGGCTCTGGTCTCCGTCTTCTTCGCCTTCGCGCCCCCCTCCGCCACGCCTTCCAGCTACGACTCCCGCCTCGTGGTTGACCGCGCCCGGCAATTCTCCGTGCCGGCGGTGCACGGCGGGTACCGGACGGCGCTCGAGAGGGGCTTCGTCGGGGCAAAGGTGCCGCTGGGTCTGAAGCGGAAGCGGCTCCGCGTCGTGGTCACTGGCGGCGCGGGGTTTGTGGGTAGCCACCTGGTGGACCGCTTGATCGAGCGGGGGGACAGCGTCATCGTGGTGGACAATTTCTTCACGGGGCGCAAGGAGAACCTGGTGCATCACTTCGGGAACCCCAATTTCGAGCTCATCCGCCACGATGTGGTGGAGCCGCTTCTCCTGGAGGTGGATCAGATCTACCACCTTGCCTGCCCGGCGTCCCCTGTCCACTACAAGTTCAACCCCGTTAAGACGATCATATCCTTTTCTCAACTTCTTCTCCGATTTGGTCGTATAATTCTGTGATAAAGATCGCTCCTCGGCAATCGGTTTTCGGTTTTCTTTCATAGAATCTCATAAAGTTGCGATTTTTTTTCCTCTATTGTCGCCATTCAGATTTTTTATTCCTTCGCATTTGCAAATTCCTATCTTTTATTAAGATCTCTTTATGGGTTATTGATCTTGATTCAATTTAGAATTTTTGGTGTGGACTGTTAATCCTAAGGATTTCTGTAAATAGAGTCACAACTTCTTTGTCTTTGATTAAGATTCGTTGCTTTCAACAACATCTGCTGTTACTCTGGTGCGAGTTCGATTCCTTGTAGCGAACAAGATGACTTCTCTTGATACTATTTAGCTTGATTTGGACTCTTCAGTTTGATTAGTGGTGATTAATGGTTGGGTGAGATCTTCTACACGAAGCAGATGGAAAAAAGAAGTATCACGTTTTGCTTGTTGAATGCCTTGATTCATCTAGCTCCTGTGCTGTCGGTGCACAAGACCAACGTGGTGGGAACTCTCAACATGCTCGGCCTGGCCAAGAGAGTAGGAGCCAGATTTCTCCTCACCAGTACCAGTGAGGTCTATGGTGATCCCCTGCAGCATCCACAAACTGAGACATACTGGGGCAACGTCAATCCCATTGGTATGACTCCTTCCACCAATCTCTTTCATGATCCATCTCTCCAGCTGTTTGCCTTTGGAAAGTTTTCTACTGCAAATGCATGCCTCCTGAGGTGGCAACTCCATCATCAGATTTGCTTTTGCAAGGAACAGCTTGTCTTGGGGTGGTTGGGACTTTGGAATGGACCAGTTCCAAGGTCTGCTTCTCTTCATTTGTGGGACAAAGCATGGGATATCTTATGGCTCACGTTGTTTTTTTTATGCTTGACAACCGCAGGGGTTAGGAGCTGCTATGACGAGGGCAAGCGAACCGCAGAGACCTTGACCATGGATTACCACCGTGGTGCCCAAGTCGAGGTCATCAATCTCTAACCAAACTCAATGATGCAAAAACTTTGTTGTTGACTTAATCTCTTTGAACCAGTCTTTTGGAAGAGTAACATAAAATCTTGTTTACAGGTGAGAATTGCTCGCATCTTCAACACTTACGGGCCTCGGATGTGCATCGATGATGGCCGGGTAGTGAGCAATTTTGTTGCCCAGGTGTGCTACAGATTGTATTTTAATTTATTGTTTACAAGCCTCCACCATCTTGTTACAGGTTATTGGCATCTAGTTTTGACATGATCTCTTGTAGGCCTTGAGGAAGGAGGCTCTGACTGTTTATGGGGATGGAAAGCAAACCAGGAGCTTCCAGTATGTCTCTGATCTGGTAGGGCCTTCTTCCTACTTTAGCAACTGTGAATTAAAATGGTTTTTCGGATTTTACTTTTGGTATAAATGATTTACATTTGTGTTTACCAACGAACTTAGCAACACTGGAACTTTGGATATTTCATTCCTGTTTGTAATGTCACCTGTGCCACCAATACGGACATGTAGGTCCCAAAGTTCATGCAATTGGCAGGGATGGGTCCAGTGAGAATTTGTATATCTAACAACTACATTCATGTATATGGCCAAACTATTAGATGTAGATAATTAGCCAATGCTTCTTTTTGCTTCATTGCCTCTGATTTTCCATTGAGTTAGTTCATGGTATCATTAGTCCAATATTTTAGTGTAAAACTTCATTTTCTATCTAAATTTTACCTCATTTTTGCAATAAAATTTTTGTTGAACTTGTAACACCATACTCCGATATCGTCATCGATCGATTAGGCAGCATCCTCAAGGTTCCCAGCATCCCTTGTATTTTGATCCCGATAGAGTTGTTTCCGTTTGTTTGATATGTCATTTATATTAGAGTTGCAGGTGGTATCCCCAGAATTATTTTCAGGAAAAAAGGATCCAGTAGTTGTTGAAGTGTTTTCAAATATGAGGGACTTAAAGGAATAGATGGAACGTAGCTTTGACATTTTCCTATGATTTCCTGAGTTGAATTTTAAACACAAAACGCAGGTGGAGGGGCTGATTAAGTTGATGGAGGGTGAGCATGTCGGTCCATTCAACCTGGGAAACCCTGGAGAATTCACCATGCTGGAGCTTGCAAAGGTGGTGCAGGACACGATCGACCCTGATGCCAAGATAGAGTTCCGACCAAACACAGCAGATGATCCCCACAAGCGCAAACCTGATATCACCCGCGCCAAAGAGCTGCTTGGCTGGGAACCAAAGATCTCCCTACGAGAGGGCCTCCCTCTTATGGTCTCTGATTTCCGCAAGCGTATTTTTGGTGATCACTCCGAAGTTGATTTAACCACATCGGGCACCGCCACCATCACGGACAATGGATCTCCTTAAGACACACATTGCTCATGTTGCTGTTCTGACTCTCAAACCCGATTCCTATGCAAAGATGAAAGGCCCATACAGAAGCACAATGGAAAATCAGCTTATATTTCATTGATATTCCTAATGATTCAGCATGTTTTTTCTTTTAAATTCTTCGCACTGCAGTAGCCCGATGGCTGAGAGCTAGCTGCAATGCACTTTTTTTCTCTCTCTCTCTCTCTCTCTCTTTTATGTGTTTTTCATCATAATTTTTTATCTTCCTTCTTTTAGAGATTGAACCAGCTGTCCTTTTATTGTGGTTATATGAATTTAATATAGTGTTTAACGTAGTTTATCAGTTTTTTTTATCTTGCCTCTATATCAGGAGACTGCATGATAAGCCTATGAGTTGAGATATATGTATGATGCATTTGTAAACAGGGAAGAAGCCATTTTGGATGGCACAATCATTAGATTCACTATGTAGATGTCAAAATTTGACTTTGGTAAGTGGGTGTCTACTCCTTTTACTAATAATTGTCATGTCATTTGGTTGATACCATTTATGAAACTTAAAATACTCTTGAGCTAAACAATATCTTGGTGATAAACTGTTCTATTTTTGTTCTATCAGAACTTCAAAATAAACATAATTATTTTTTTATCTAAGTAATTAGTGTGGTAATGGTTTATCCAATTTATTTATGTTGTGAATCCTTATTTAAAGATTTAGGCAGGCTTACTGCTGAAATAACTATCCATGTGCAACAATAAATAACTATAGAAAAAGGAATAAAGACAACATAATTTGTGACACTAATGAGAATATTTTGGATTTATTTTTAATATTTATATTAGCTAAGGATAATAGCAATTATCAGTTTGAGCTTATTATATATATATATTTGAAGATATATACATATATATTCGAATTTATAATTACAAAATTGATATTTTCATTATGTAAAGCACCGAAAACACACTATTTGTTCGACAAATTACTAAAATTGAAAATACTAATAATTATTGTTGTTGGTATCGTTATTTCTTGTTCGTCATCACATGACAATCTCTCTCACATGGCAGAGTGATGCTGCGTCCGCCCCTTCCACCCGCAGAGGAACCTCCCGGGTCGCCGCGACCACCGCCCCCCTCCCACCGGCGAATCGGGGCTGGCGTTCCACACGTCCCCGTTCGCCTTCATCTGCCACCGATCGACCCGGTCGTGCGCCCCGCAGACGCTCCGACGGTCCAGCCACGCGATGATGTCGGCGAACACGGCCTCCACGTTGTCGTCGGGCTCCCCGGCGGTCAGCCCGTGCCACATCCCCGGGTAGAGCTTGATGGTCTTGTCGCTGCTCCCGGCCCGCTCGTACAGCGCTCGGCTTACCTCCGGGTCGGTCACCGTGTCGGCCTCCCCGTGGAGCACGAAGAAGGGCAGCGTCACCTGCCATTTCCGCGGCCGACGCCGCCGCCCGAGCAACGACATCAGATCAGCGTAACCTCACCGCCAGTAACCGACTCCCGGAACGGCCTTGAGTGTATCCGAAAACCCGCGGTAAGTTTATGGTGGTAAAAGAAGGCATACCATGGTTAAGCTGCTCTCGAGGTTCATGCTTGTCCTAAGCAGTTCCAGCGCGGTCTTGAGCCGCGGCTTGTCTTGGTAGATCAACTTGTTGTTCCTAATCTACATATAATATATATACATATATAGTTAGTAGATTATTATTTCGTATTAAGATATAACATATGGAAATGTCAATACATAACCTCTTCACGCTTGATTGGGTCTTTGAAGGCAGAGTCAATGACGTCCTTGGTAGGAACAATCTTCCATTTGGGTATGATCTCCTCTATCCGAGTTAGAAGATTGACCACCACCGGATGAGGCTTCACCTTCTCTGATATCTGCACGTAATGTAAAGCAACACAGTAATAAGGTATGTTAATCTTCGTAGAATATCAATCATAAAGACTTTATCATATTATCATATCACAAATTCGATAAAATCATATCCTCATAATTTATCATTCGTAAAAAAAATATATATATATTCTACATATCACCACCTTACACATCGGCGCCACGAGAACCGCACCATCCCAGAAAGTCGGGTCCTTCCGATGGAGGAGGAGCGCCACCGCGCCACCCATCGACTCCCCATACAAAAATCGACACTTGTCTTGGTTCTCCGACGATCCTGTACCACAAAGATACATGGTGATATGATGATGATGATGACGACGACGACGATACTACGTCTCTATTTGCCACCATGAATTCAAAGGATTTATTTGCATGTTTCGAGATGTGCATGTTTGGCCAAGACACGTTACATTTAGCATTCATGCATGTCTAGTAACCCTTTTTATCGACAAAGGCATCTTTACTTCTACCAATCCATGTGAGAACAATAAATAGTGTCTAAGATGACAAAGAACTGTACTCACAAAGAAATGACAATATCACCTTCACACAACCTTTAAGTTAAAGATGTAAGAAGCATTTTCCATGTTGAATACCAATATTATGATAAACATAAGACTTAAGAACATAGAATTTACCGCAAACAGATTTGAAGAACCAATCGCAATCGGCGACGATATTATCGAACTTTTTAATGTAGCATCGGGCACCCATCGACCTCCCGTGTCCCTCATAATCGAGGCCGAACACGCCGAATCCGGCCGCCGCCAACTTGGTGCCGCACCCTAACACCACCATCATAAATCATTGTCATCAGATCACACACAATGGACCCAATCCTCCTCCATAAATCTAACCACATTAATTTCCCTGCTCATCAAACATTGTTCAGTCACCAACCAACCATACTTGGAGGGCCTCACCAGCCCAAACAAACAACAACTAGGACGACCACAATTACTACATGGGCCCCCACATGGAACCAAATCATTCGTGGTCGTCCGATCGTTCGGTCGACCGGAGTCGGTCCCCGATCAGACGACCGAGACGAGACGCCACACCTCGAGGGCAATGCAGCTGCATAATAAATTCTCAACCTTTGCTAATTAGTGGTGTGTTTACTTGGAATAGATTGGAAGAGGTGGCTTTCTTGTTTGTTCACCAAACTACAACCATTAAGAGTTGTGTATTATCGAAAGTGACATGGCCTCATGGAACTGACTGTTTTTATAAATGCTCATAAATAAGTCATTAAAAATGGCACTTGAAGATAACATATACATTGCTACAATGCCAATACTAAGCTAAAATATAACATTATGATGTCATAATCATCATCATTCTTTTCATTTTTCCACATCATAAGTAGTGAAGACACAACTTATTATCAGCTAAGCTAACTAACATTCTCATAATTAGCTTCACTACTCAAAAAACTAATTTTTCAAATACATAAATGATGATTATAGTAGACAACAATGGCTTATGACTAATTAGTAGGAAATAGCAATAACAATAACAATAACAAAAAGCATATGAATTTTTTTTTATCGTTGTTGAGATCTATAAAAATTTATATATTTAATTAAATTTAAAATACTTAAAATTTTATTTATAATTTTTATTAAAATCTAATTAGTAAAATGTAGCATGGAAGGAAGTAATTCATGCCATATCAAGTTGAAAACATGATGACATCAAAAGAAATAAATAAAGTAAATGAAGAAGGCATGGGAAGAAGCAAAGAAAATAAATGTCCCCATCCTCCTTCCCCAACCGGCCAAGCCCTCCATGTTTTACCCTAAAGTTCTTAGCGGACATGACTTTGGCTTTGGCCTTTTCTCCAAAAGTCACAGGTTCTCACAAGAAAGTCCATGCAATTAATACCCAACCTTCCATGCCCGCACAAGCAATTATTAGCCTTCTGAAGAAGTTGGAACAGAGTACTTGCTGCAGTCATGGAGTCCAGGGAAAGGGGACAGCACCCAGCATGCACCAAAGAACCCATTCCATTCAACTTGGGAAGATGGATATGATGATCTCACCTTTCATGAATCCACTGCATTCCATGCCGTATCCTGCAACCAAGAATGAGATGATGTTATGTATGGACCGAAGACAACCAAGTAGCCTGTGAATGAAGAGATCATGACGACCATGACAGAGGAAGACGAGGGCTTTCGGTGAAGAAGAAGAAGTGGGCAGCCATCTGCATGTGAAGAGCCGCACACCTCTTGAGTTCCTAATGTACTCCTGCCATCATCATCACCGTGAAAGAAGGAAGGATCAAAAAAAGCAAGAGCTAAAGGAAAGCAAGACACACAAACAAGATGATGGCAGAAGAAGCTTGGCAGAGATCAGAGATATCAAGTTCTGGATCACCTCCCGGTACTCCACCTCCATGTGTTCGGCAACAGCTCCTGCAAGCATCAAAGCATGACCTTGAGGAAACGAACGGTGTGGGAACCTGAGAACAGGGGACTCGAGAGGGATTTCTTGAGCAAGTGACTGAAGGGGGGAGATCAAGACAGGGACAAAGGAACATGGAGCAGAGGCATGGGGAGGCAATAAATATACCTCGATGGGGATGAAGATACACGTGCCACCAGTACAGCCACAGGAGGTGGTCAGCAGCCACCCGCTTTCCCCTCCCCAACCCAACACCCATTCCCTCTATCCCAAGAAGACTTTGATCACATAAGAAACTTTGAGTCTTTGGATATTTCTTCTGATCTGAAGATTGATTCCTTCATTCCCCAACTCCATCGGTGCCCACTTCTGTTCCCATCATCCAATATTTAATTGCCACTTGTGCCCACAACCTGATCTAAAGCCAGCAGTACAGACACAGAGAGAGAGAGAGAGAGAGAGAGAGATATGAACTGCTCCTTGATAGGATAATAAGCCAACTTGAAACATAGTTTTTGATGTGATGTATGCACAAAGATAACTCGAGAAATTGGAGTCTGGAATCCTTCCTGGGGAGTTGCATCAGTACTGGTCCCTGATCCATGCTTCATGTAATGATGGTGATGATGGATCTTGCTGACCCCATGATTCCTGCTTGTTGTATAAGGACCACCTCCTGCTGCTCCGTCTCAGTCTCCACAAAACATGGGTTGCAGCTCAACAACTTGGCATCAAACCTCGAGAAGATGAGAGAAGCCATTGACAGTTTTGCTGCAGACCTTAATGGAGGTCGAACGCTGAGTTCAGACACCTTTAAAGCTTGGAGCTTTTATTGTACCTTCAATAGCAACTGTGGGATGCAGTCATGTCGCCACTGTAATTCCTCAGTTCCTTCAGAGATTGTACAGTAATCTCACCTCCTCAATGCAAATGTACACAGTTTCTATGTGTACCCAATTCCCTCAGCAACCTCTGCAATGCGACCTTCCTCTTTCTTACGATTTCTATGCAGAATGACCGTCAGCATTCATTCCTCCTTCTTGCATGTTGGACATTGAAAAGCCAATGTCCACTGAATTGAATTCAAATGCTTCCTATATTTCTTTTTGGCATCAGGGGAAGCCCACTACCTTTAGCTGCACCATTTCATACAGGTATTTGAGTTGCTTACATCTTTTCTTGGCTGCAATCCGTATGAGAACAAGAAATAATTTCAGAACAATGTTTCTGAGCTTTTAGGTTCTTCCATCCGAGCCTCTCTCCTTCGTATTGGCGAGACGGAATCGATCCTTGTGAGCGGAGGCTCGTGGCACTGAGAAAGTTGCGTTGGCGTGCCAACTCGGCTCCCCGCTGGCGTCACTTATCGCAAAATTGAACCGCGTGGGACGCCAACTGGGACCCACTTGATTGAGAGCCCATGATCAGCCACATCAGCGCCACGTCGGTACAACTGCGTGTGCTGCCGCACGACGTCGGCGAGGGATCCTGTGTCTCGGGAGAGGTACCAGACACGAGAGAAGGAACTTGAAAAGAAAGCCACGTCGGCCTTTAACCAATGGGACGCCTCCCTCGTCTATGCATTATCTGGATCGAGACTCGGCGGCGGCACCCGATCAACGAGTTGCGGTGAGAGTTACCTTACGATTACATCGGGTTTCCCCCATCCGCCCCTCTCCCTATTCTTGGCTCGGAGCTTCGCCGTGCTCTTTTTGATTTCTCCTCGTCCATTCACAGAGACAGAGAGCCGCGATGGCGGAGGAGAGCAAGAGCGGCGTAGGAGCGGTGGCGCAGGCGGCGACGTCGCCCAAGATCGTCCTGAAGAGCATCGACATGAGCGAGAAGATGCGGAACGACGCGATCGACTGCGCCCGCGCCGTACGCCTCCTTCGATCTCGAGCCCCTTGTTTGCGTTTCATCGATCCGTGAAGAACTTTGCTCACCGATCTTTGGTTTCTCCCTTGATTCGTTTCTCCGTCTTTGTGTTGGCGCAAATAGGCGTTTGAGAAACACAGGTTGGAGAAGGAAATCGCCGAATACATCAAAAAGGAATTCGATAAGAAGTATGGGCAAACTTGGCACTGCATCGTCGGGCGCAACTTCGGTATCCATCCTTTCCTTGCTTTCCTTTTTTTCGCTTCGTTCTTATCCTTCGGACGTAAATATCAGTTTCTCTTTTTCTTTCTTTTCAATTTATAGTGCTTCATGATTCGTATTGTTTGGTCTACTTGGGCTTTACTTCATAGAGATACATCCATCGAAGATTTGTAGTTATAGCTGATCGACTGGTGAGGTTTCGAAGGGATATTGTTTTCTTCCATAAATTATACTAAGTTGTAGACTGATGCGGAAGGATGATGTCAGAGGTACTTATTTAGTTTCAGTGGTTCTGTGGATGGACCTCAACGATCGGAGAGTTATGTTGCAGTATCATAGTGATGTTAATTGTAGCATGAAGTAGTGTTTGCGTTTGAAAATTTTGCTGTTTTGGACGTAATTAAACTTCCAACTAAATGCACCAAGCATCTGAATGTCTATCTTTTATGATTTGTATCCTAGTAATTAACTTAACCATAAATGCTTCATTAATGGGTTTCTGCAGTTTAGTGCTTATAGTTGCTTTACAGAACCTTTCTTGTTGCTAGTTTACTAGAAAATATTCGGCCAAGAACTTGCCTCGCCTTATTTCATGTTGTTGGTTTTTCTGTGCACAATCTATTCTTTCTTCGATATTGTGTTTTTAATATATGTTTTTTCTCTCATCTTATATCGATAGACACAAGTTTTGTTGACCGTAAGGTATCAGAGTATAGTTGTCAAACAATTTTGGTTTGATTGCATACCACATGAACATTTCCCAAAACAGTTTTTACCTCTGTAGTTCTAGTAGACGGCAGTCAATGTTTTTAGATATTCCGGCTTACCAGCATAGCACCATGGTTCTTCTGATATACGGATGCATGCAAAGGGCAGACCCCCTCTGTTCCAAAGGAAAAAAGAAAATAAAAATATTTTGTAAAAATATATTCCGTGGATTAGCACATAGTGTAAGAGAATATGTAGACCTGCTATTGGGTCACTGGATTGGTGCATTGACCTCTCCAAGTCACTTGTTGTTTTATGTTTTTTCTCATCATATGACTGATTGTCCTGTTACCTATATAAATAAATTCTATCTATGGTACTTACGGATTCCATGTAACCTTTTTCACATAATTATTTGACTTGCACTGATATTCAAATGTGTATCTATTCTCTAAGTGCACCCTAATAATTATCTCACTCTACTCTTTTCCATGACAATCGTTTAGTGGCTCAAAATCATTAATTTCTTCATTATGGAGACCTCTCTGTTTTTTTCATGTATGCTCTTACGATGTTCTTTCCTTATATCTTTACCAATCTCAAATCCCGGTTTTCCTGTGTCATCAAAGGAATTTGGATGGTTAGCTAATAAAGAAATTCCTTTTGTTTACATATTTTAATTACATATTTGACCTAATATGTTAAGTTTCTTCTAATTCTATTTCAGATGTAAAGATATTTTCTTTTTGATGTTAAGTGGATGCTTGTTATATAGAGGAGATTTATTGTAGGTAATGGGAAGAAATCACACATTTTTTAAACTTGCTATCATGCTTGGTTGACTGGTAACTTTCACTTTTTTACTCTGATTTCACTTAAACAGAAACAAGAATAAAATAGCTATTGGAAGTCAACCATGAAGAGGGGTGGCCCCAATGCTTTTGAGGCTTTTTGCAATTACACTGTTTGGAGAGGGCCATTGGTTGTAGGCCTACTTCAGTAGATAGAGAGACAATTTTCCTAATCTTGACTTAGTAACCAATATCACCACTGGAAATTGAGTCATAGTGACTAATTATAAATGTGCTTCCTTTGGAAGATATGTCTAAATTTTGGATATCAAAAAGTTCAGTTATTCTGCAACAGTCTAATGCCTCGTCCACCACCTGTGTCACTTCCTTTTCATCTGCATAAGGTGACATGAAGTGAGACTGCTGTGACCTGTTTATCTGTGTGATATATATTTTTGAATTGTGTTTATGTAAGTTGTTGAGTATGTCATGGAAATCTTGGATCACTATCCTATTAGTGTTGCATATGAAAATATGATCATACAGGTAATTTTATTCTAACAAAGGGTACTTCAAAATTTATGCTTTCTGATGGCAATTGTTGGCAGGTTAGCTCTTCTATTCCCCTAACAATAGAGAAGTGTTCATGAGATGCATACTTCCTAAGTTTCTATTGCAAGCAGAGGAAATTATCAAAATTGTCCAATACTTTATCTTCTTGTCTACTGCATTTCTTGATTGCTATGTTACCTTGCCACCAAAAATCTTTCAATCCTGTGCCACATTTTGATGTGCTTCATTTATTTTGAATGGAGTATATTCAGTGGAAGCAATTAGGTCACACATTACCTGGAGATGTTGTATCTCTAGGACCAGCGGCCACAGAGAATTTGTTGCTACACGTGCACTGGGGCATGTAGATCATAGTAGCTTACTGTAGCCATAGTTGTTCCTGCAGTACTTTCTGTTCCATTTGGTAATTGCCACATACAGGTTCTGCATGACATCATTGTTCAGATGTGGCATGTTTACGCTATGTTGTGATGTTACAGTGACTTGTGAACAACAGTATTGAGTCTGGTTTTCAGTTATAACTTATAATTTATTTGCACAATTTTGTCAATATCCAAAATTTGATTGAGATAATAGTAAGGTTACTGTCTTACATGTTTTCTTTCCGTACAGGGATAATCATGCTGGATAAAGCTGTATGTTAGAAAATAACAAAAGAGTGACATCTTAAATTTGTATTTCCAATCCCTATTGTTTAGTAGTTAATGATTCTTTATTTGGGGAGCTGAGGGGATGAGGGTTCAATAAGATACAGTGACCTGGCCTCTGAGAATTGGAATAAACTGGCTAGTCTGATCCAATATGTTGACATTTCTGTCCGTTTTATGATTAGTTTTAACTTTTAAAGACCTGTTTAAAGAGACCCATATAACGAATATAATAGCCCCCTAATTCAGTCTCAGAAAGCTATGGAATGCCAACATACGTCTGTCTATTCTCTAATTCACCCGACCCGATTCATTTTGGGATTCCTCGTTACACTGTTTTTATTGTACATAATATGCCACTGAATTGACATGCAAAAAGCATTTAACATGAATCATCCGTCTGACAAAACTTCTCTCTTTCCTTCCCAGGGTCATTCTTGATGTAGGGCGTGTGGATTGTGCTATCCTTTAAGATAACCTTGTGTGGTCTTTTGGCTTCCCTCATTTGTAATATAAAAGAAATTATCGTAACTGTGAATCATAATAAAGCAACATCAAACAGATAATGGACATAAATTCTCCTATGAAGTGCCTATATAATATGATGAATCGATCTGGCAATTTCTGTTATTCAGATAGATTGGCACTTGTTTTTCCTTCACTGAATTAATTATTTTCGTTATTGTCTCATCACAATTCTCTTTACTGTGTAAAGTATTCTTTCTAATCTGGCTTCTGCCTTTGCAGGATCATATGTAACACATGAGACCAACCACTTCCTTTATTTTTACGTCGACTCGAAGGCTGTTTTGCTATTCAAATCTGGATGACTGTGAGTTCTTCCTGCTAATCCGATGCCTGGATTCTGCTCCGAATCTTTGGCTTGTCTATCTTATTAAGGATCTTCTGCACTCCCTGTATATCTCATGCACATCTCCGCTTTCACCTTGAACCGCTTTGAACAATGTATTTGTTGATCTATCAGGGAAATATCCTAACTTTTGGTTGAAATTTGTGCCATATTAGCAAACAGATTTCTCTGGGCCATCGAAAATGAGCAAGGTCAACATTCTAAGGGCAGGAAAATGTACGACTTTCCTCTTCTTTAAATCTTCTAGGATTCACATGAACTTGTATATTTGGATTCTGTGTCGCCCACAATCAATCATTATGCACCTTTGTTGTCACCGGCTTGCCTTATAGTCGATCAGCAATTTGTCGTGCAGTGCTTGTCTTGACATATATTCTGAGTGGTATTGTGCAGGGAGACTGGTGTCTGTTGCAATGCATTTCTAGTTCGTAGAATGTGTATAACTTGTAGATTTGATTGAATACTGATGTGGTCATATTATGTTGGACAAGTAGGATTAGTGACTATAAACTCTACTCCGTCTTGGGTCCTGGAAAATGCAAGCAACTATGCCGATTAACCAGATTGGTTGTATCTGTTGGTTTTGATGTGTGAGGCCATGTGATTAGAGATGTTTGTGGAGCTATTATTGAGGCAGTCTGACCTGCTTATCTGCTGATAAACACAAGCAGGTCTCTTCTTTGAGTTAACACCATGCAAGGAGGCTTTTCCACGACTGATATACACCCAAAGGATCATCCATGAATCTTTGGACTACCTTAAAGAAAAAGAAAATAAAGGTGAGAAAAACAAGAGAAAAAACTTTTCTGATACTGTCAATCCAGGATCTTGTGAGAACTAAGGTAGACAATCATATTTCCTTTTCTGATACTGTCGAAGTCTTTCTGATTGACCAGTCCAGTTAAGCCAGTACTCAAGTCCAAAGATGTGTCTTTTTCAAGCAGGACAACTAATGAGGAAATGTAGAACATATGTTGTTGGCATCTTTCTTATGTAGAACCAGCAAAGAGTATGTATCAGTGATTTGGTATGCCAATTTTAAATGAACAGTAATTTGATGTCAAAAATGTGTAAACATTATTGGAGAAAAAACCAGATGAAAAAAATAATAATTTGATATGTGAAAGATCTTGAGATCTTAATGTTCTTACTTACACTATGACATGAATCTTTTATTATTTTTAATTAAATTCAGCATAGCTTAATTAGTAAGATCTTTGATTAAGATCATAGAATTGAATTTTGTCTTCTTCGTTTATCTTTTAATATAAGAAAAAAAAACACATAAATATACCGAACGACGACATTATAAACAGATAGATTTTAGAAAACACTATGAACATCATGTCAAGATAACATGCAAGGCTGAGTAAAGCTCTAGAGGAACAATCGAAGGGTAAATCCAACGATGCTCTAAGTGTTAAGATGAAACACAAGTTAAAAGGAAGTAAAGCAATGGAGTTAGTTGTATGAGAAATTTCTTTCTTTATCTGGGAGGTTTTACCTTTTAGAAGCCTCCTTTCCATCAACGTGTAATAGTTTCTTGTCAGGAGATCATGTGAATCTTTCAATAATAGAAGAAAACAAAACCCACTTACATTGATTTGGTGAATCCTTTCGTCATTGATTTTGCCTCTCTCACAAAGCTGTGATATTATAAATTTAATTAATTCATTTATATTTTAACAGAATAAATATAATAATTTTATTTCATATATATATGGATAAGTTTTTTAAAAAAATCTTAAATCTTTATAATTTTTTTTTTATAGAGAACTCTCTTTTTGGTTTATTATCGAAGAACGACCATTGGTATCTAAAAGATGAGATTACTCTGGCCTATATCTCTTGTTGTCATCCGTCGCTTGAACCTCTTCCTGAGGCCTCATTATGAGGCCCTATTATCTTTGTCCTGTCACTTGTAAGTTCTTGTTTCTACCCTATCATCCCTATTGTTAAGTTTGATGGAGGGGAAGGAAGCGATCACAACGAGGCTTCTCCTCCCTTCTCCCTTACATTGAAAGTATGCATTCGTTTATCCTGAAGGAGTGACAAGGGGCGAAAGCATGCTCCTTTAGTGTGGGGGGCCATATGGGGGAGGAGGGAGGGAAAATTTTGCCTTGGCTACCTCCTCCTTTATCGAGGTTTATGACGAGGATGACAAAGCCTTAACAATATCTCGATAGTAACAAATGAGGTTGAGGGTGAGGGCAATGGGGTGAACATGACCATGAGAAGGAGACGGAGCCTCATAGCGAGATGAAGGCAATGAGTGGCCATAATGGGGCTATGGGTTAGAGGTACGATCGGTAAGGTAGAGATCATGGCCAATCTTGTCTTTTTAAAAATAGGAGATGTTATGTGGAAATAAACTAAAAATGAAATCTTTTAGGGAAAAAATAAAATTATTTTTGAAGTTATATATATATATATATGTGAATTTTTGAAAAAAGCTCACAACTTCGAGAATTTGCTGTAAGACATTTCAACATTGAAAAATATTCTTATAATTTTTTTTATTTAAATGATCGTTTTGCCCTTAGCCTCATTAGACTTGTCATCGCCTTCGCTCTTATCATGCTTGTAAGTAGCCATCGTGTGAGGAATGAAGGGCCATGAGGGTCATCGTTGTCTTTGTTTTGACTCTCGTCAGACTCGTCTCCTATCCCTGTGAAGATAATAGTAGAATCCATAGAGGCGACGATGGCCCTTGCGTCCTCTCCTTCCTCGTACGAAAGCTAATGGGAAAGATAGAGGACGACACTCATGCTTAGGTTTAGGATTGCAAGCGATGACGACGAGAATTATGAGTGAATAATAATGTCTCTCACACCCCTTACTTCCTTGTGTAAGGGTTGCTGGTGAGGCACGTAGGGATAGGGCTGGAAAGGTCAACAACGACGGTAATGACGATCCTCGTACGTGGGTTATGATTAATGACTATTATGGATATGATGGTATTTCCATATAACTCGAGGTCAACAATGACGGTAATATATATATATATATATATATTTTCATATATATATATATATTATATTACAGCTTGTCGCTAGAGAGAAGCCCACGCGGCAGCTTGTCAGTGCCTTTAATTTCTCCCCATTAAATTTCACGATCGCATACCAAAGAACGTGACGCACCTCGGTGGCCGTGCTCCCGCTTACCCTCCCCGGAATCCCTCGAGCTTCTCGATTGCTACGTCGCGATGGCCTTCTCGACGTCGGATCTCCTCCGGTCGGTGCAGCCGGCGCACCGCTTCGACGAGGCGGCCCTTCTCCGCTATGCCGCCGCCAACGTGGCGGGCTTACCCGCAGCGCCGGCTAAGTTCAGCGTCTCCCAGTTCGGCTATGGCCAATCCAATCCGACCTTCTGTTTGGAGGTCGCTTCCCATGGATCCCCCGGCGTCGTCAAGCGCTATGTTCTGAGAAAGAAGCCTCCTGGTGCTCTCCTCGAGTCCGCCCATGCCGTCGAGAGGGAATTTCAGGTATAGCTTTCCTTCTGCTTCGTTTGTTGGTTAAATAGGTAGATCTGTTATTACTAAATATTAGTAGGAAAGGAGCGAACTTTGCCTTCGGGATGAATGCGATCTGCTCGTTTATGCTTACGTTTCGTTGTAAGATTTATAGGATATGTTGGCATGGGCGTGCAAGAGCAATTGGGCTTTTAAAATGTCTGATTTTTGGAAAAGAAGAATCTTGCTTCATGAATTGGACGAGTGCGATTTATGAAGAGAGTTCGTCTGTCTGACGGTTTATTTCTGGAATTTTTTGAAAGAGGGTAGATTTGACTTTTAGGGTTAATATGTTCATAATATTGACTTTTTGTGCTGCTTTATTTGATAGTTAGAGAAGAAAGAAAAAGGAAGGAAACAAATTCTCGCAGGCTGGTTTGATCCGCCTATTATGCCTGTACTTTACTGAAGCTCTATGAGCATGAAGAAACGTTTGAATAGTTGTAAATCACACACAGGATGATTTTTTAGCTTCCAATGCATGTGTTTTGGTTTTTCTTTTTCTTTCCGTACAAGATTGAATGGTCCAATTTGGATAAATCTTGGTTATGGCTAATTAATGATTTGAGTGGAAGTTGTTTATTCAACTATTTCTTGTAAATAGATATGCTCACATGTCTCTAAGAGTCATTTACTCTTAGGAAACAAATTGTTTTAAGAGCTGTTTATCTAAAATGATTTCTTCTAATGCTCTTCCTGCTTTTTCAAGTTGTTTCCTGGATTTTATAGTCAGAACACAATGTCACTGCTGCAAGACCTTACTTATTTCCAAACTTTGTCCATGTTAATGGCTAGGTATTTTTGTGCATCATATTTAAGAGATAGTTGCTAAGTGTGTGGGCTTTTGGATGAACTGGACAATGATATCTTTGAGTGTTTACTTTTAACTTGGAAAGTTTTACTTTTAGCAATATGTTCTAGTGCCATGCATTGAATGGCCATTTGTTAGTTGGCTGTTCTTTTTTTGTGTTTTGGAGGATCACCCAATTGATTTTCATCAGTCTTTGTTTTTGCTTCTGTACAGGTTCTCAAGGCTTTAGGTGTGCACACAGATGTTCCTGTTCCAAAGGTTTTCTGCTTGTGCAATGATACAAGCATAATTGGTACATCTTTCTACATTATGGAGTACTTGGAGGGACGGATTTTCATGGATAATAAGTTACCAGTAGGTTAACTTTCTATTGTTGCTTAATGTGTAGTTCACATAATTATCTGTCACTTTCAAATATTTTCTGAAGGAAAAAAATAATTTTAACTGTTTCATGTATGCATCACATATGAATGGAACACCTGGGTTGTGCAAGCAGTATCTTGTGAATTTAAGTCTAAACTGCTTCCAAGAATGGTTGCAGGCTTGCACATGATGATCTTCTTCGATGTTTCGATTTGGGGAGAAAATTCGAAAAGCACCATCTATCTTTATCTTTAGCTTTTCGTGAGTTGCCTTATTTTTGAAGTTTTATATCAATCTGCAACTATTCATGTTCAGGGACTGAGCCCAGAAAGGAGGAAGGTTATATATCAAGCTACTGCGAAAACTCTAGCTTCTTTACACAAAGTTGATGTGGATTCGATAGGGTTGCAAAAGTTTGGCAGGAGAGACAACTATTGCAAGAGACAGGTGATGTCATTTGGCTGGTTTAAATAGCTTGAATATGGAACTAATACTTAACCAGAGCCTTGAGCATTCAAGAAAAGTTTTTACAAGATAAGCTAGTCTGCATGTTGTGCAGGAATTCTTTTTATTTTTCCCTCAAGGTGTCGTTATTTCTCAGAATGATATGCTTGCTCGTACAACAGTTGTTAGCTTTACATTACAAAGCACTAAGTTATGTTCTAAAGATGTTAAGCTTTTCAAGTTCAATTTGATATGAATCAGAACCACTTGTCATGCTGGATACTACCTGTGACAGAAGCTGCAATACATACTATTACATCATAGTTGTTCCAACCTGCTAACTTAGTTGCAGGCCTAAGATTTTGGCTTGGTGCCTTGAGGAACTCTTACTGCTCCATGGTTCTAACAACTCTGTTCATTTTTCTGTTCTTGAGAGATTGTTATGTTTGGTATCGTTCCCTTCTAAGATTAATGAAGTTTATTGTTAGATTGAACTACATAACTGTAAAAATGAGGAAAGATGTAAAACCTTATTTATGCTTTGATGATGTTTTTGTCTGTTAGGTGGAAAGATGGGGAAAACAGTATCTCGCTTCAACTGGTCAAGGGAAACCTGATCGAAATCCTAAAATGCTTGATCTGGTTGTTTGGCTCAGAGAAAATATCCCTGCTGAAGATTCTTTAGGAGCATCAGGAACTGGGCTTGTTCATGGAGACTATCGAATCGATAATCTAGTTTTTCACCCTGTCAAGGTTCTTAAAATTTGTTTCTGATCAGCTAGAATATATGCATTTTAATTCCAAATTGTATCACAATTTATTTATACAACTATGCTAGATCAACAAGTTGAAAAGTAAGCCTCTAGAGGAAAGATTTAGGTATTTGCTTTTCATGACTCTTGGTTCTCATAAGGATAAACATGATATCCTTTATTCTATGGGTAGCTGTAAACAGAGCCCTGTTATTTTAACTGATATTGTTTCGGTCCACCTTATGCACATATATGTTGTAAATATGATTGTTCTGGATATTTATTTATTTATTTCCTTGTTTTATAGAAAGATACTGCATTTCCATGTGTTAAATTCTGATGAATCTGCTCACATAAATGTAAAATAGAATTCATAATTATATAAAAGTACTTATAAGCTAGAAAGGGCAAAACCAATCCACCAATCTCGTGCCAATATGATATCTCACAAGAGTTAATGTACACAATCTTAGGTCTAGAAGTAAAGAGGTTGTTTTCATGACTGGAATCATGTTCTCCTATATTGCATAGGAGCAACCTTATTATTGTGCCAAGTCTTGCTTTAATTGAATCACATGAGCTGCATGAATAAATGTGGGATTAGTAATAAAAAGAATCTTATCTTGTGCACATACATCACATAAACACATTAACATTTTAAACAACCCCTTTTAACTAGGGATCCTTTGCTTTGACAGAGTAAGGTTGCTCTGGAAGGCCAAATTGAAGATAGAAGAAAGCTTTTCTGTGATCGAAATAAAATAATCAAGTATTTATATTTGTTTACTGGCCACATGCATATTCAGATTTGTATGTTTGAGTCCTAGATTTATTAGGATTAGACCTGTACGAAAGCCTTGCCTGTTGTCCTGCCCTAGATGAACCCCTTGTCTTCATCCCTTGTAACATGGCTTGCAATCTTTACAGTGCTGGTCGACCTTCCAAATCAAGGGTTGACTTTTATCAATGCATTGTGTTCAGTTTCTTCCCTACAAGTCAAGGTCTTTCTGTTGGCCTCCAAATCTTCAGTTTCTCTCAGGAGTGCTTTCAGGACTAGGAACAGTCCATATGGACCTACAAATCTATCATACTGCTACCAGAGTGTCAGGACCAAATTTGGACTATCTGGTCTTCAATTGGCCCTTTCTGGCCCTTTCTGGGGTAGGTCGAACCCAATAATGGGCCAGCCACCAAGGGGCTGATCTCAGAATTATAAGGGATGAAATTAGCATTGTAACTCATGTATGGTCGATGTACTGATCAATAGTAAAGCATTAAAGAGAGTTAAAAAAGTTGTGTAACTTTGCGTGCATTGTAGCTACAATATAAAGTAGAAAGACTGATTTTTCATGTCATGCCTTGATCTTTTCTACAAACGAAAACTAAAGGATGAAAAGTTTGTCTATATTATATAGCTTCATAACTAGCAATTTATTGTCCAATGTTTCATTTTTGTTCAGAAAACACGCAGCATTCAACAAATTGCATAATGGGTTAAGAACGAGTATCCTCTTTTTTTGCAGGATCAAGTGATTGGCATTCTTGACTGGGAACTATCAACTTTAGGGAACCAAATGTGTGATGTTGCATACAGTGCCTTGGTCAGTAGCTTGTTACGAACATTATATTGTTAAATCTCTGTTATTTTGTGCTTTTATGAGCTTCGAATGTTTCATGAAAATGGTTTTAACTCAGATTGTATAATATCAGTTGTCACAGATACAAAACGGCTTACACATCTTGTACTACTAATATAAACCAGGGGAGCTAGACATGACAGGGACATATATAATCTTTAAGTAGCGATACAATATATTTCTTTAAGCTTCCTGAACCATTTGAGTCATCATTAAGGAATATGGGATACTTGGAAATTTTGGATTTAAAAGATTCAAAATGGGTACAAAGCTTGACAATGTCATTGATTAAAATCAGAAGTTACTGATGATAATTGTACAGCTGTATATTGTTGACGTGGCTTTGGGAGAATGTGAATCATATGGACTTGAGTTTAGTGGCATCCCAGAAGGCATTCCTTCCTTGGTGGAATACTTGGCAGTATATTGCTCTGCAGCTGTAAGCATTACTTTGACAGTTTTTTTCTACATGTAGTTGTAGGCTTGTAGCTTCATCGATTTTCATTGCATTTTTTTGAGGTATCATTAATTTGTTTGCTCACCTGAAATCGATGAAATTCAGAGAAGGCCCTGGCCAGTTCGAGAATGGAAGTTCTATATGGCGTTTTCTTTGTTCCGTGGTGCATCTATTTATGCAGGAGTATATCATAGATGGACTCTGGTATTAGCATCAGAAATCATTAAGTTTGGACATTTTGAAAAATAAGTCTGTAATAGTTTTGAACAAATACAGGGTAATGCTTCAGGTGGAGAGCGTGCTCGGTATGCTGGAAAGGCGGCTAATGTCTTAGTTGATTCTGCCTGGGCATATATTACTCGAGAGTCTGTTCTTCCTGACCAGCCTCCACTGGGTAATTTTGATATGATTCCCTCTGCGTGAATGAATAGGACATTATTGACTACCAGAATCCTACTGTCATAAGGAACTTATGTTAATATGGAAATTTGTCATACTGCATATTCTATGATTTTGTTTCAGGATGGTCACATGTGGCTTTGGGAGAATATGAATTATATTATTGAGATGTTTAAGTTTGTATGGACTTTAACGATTATTTGAAGCAAGGTTTGCCGTACCGTACCGTACCGGCGTTTCGACCCGCGCTCGGTACGGTACGGTACGGGTGTACCGACCGGTATACCGAGGTGTACCGAGCGGTACACCCGATTTCACCGATTTAACCCTCCGAAAATACCTGAAAATTAAAAACAAAGTTAGGATAGGGTTTTCAAGTTACAAATAAATATAGTAATAGTATAAGTTTAGCAAAATCAATATAAATTAGGTAAGAATAGCATCACATATCTTTTTCGGGCTTTGAGGTAGTCTTGTTCGAGGTTCGTATTTCAGCTCGTTATAGATTGAAATATCTACAGAAAAATCAGTTGAATTGTTAGACTATTTTGTTAAAATATAAACTATAAAATTCAAATGAATTAAATAATCATATATCTAGATATACCTGATTGTTAATTCTACCACCAAAACGAACGACGGGCCTCCACGGGTGGTGGATCAGGGTCCTCGATCCGATACATATCAATATGATACGTTTGTTGGACCCAATCATGAAATTGATCCCATGACATAGTGTATTGATACACCGTATGCCATTGATGCATCAATGTGGTGCTGATCGTAGATTGATCGTCATGAATTATATTTGTCCGAGGCAGCTCTTGAGGCATATATTGATGTTGTTCTGTATCATGTTGTTGCTCAGAGAAGGATGACCAACTATCACCATACTGTTGTTGCCCATATGATTCTCCATAATACGATTGCTGTGAATACGATGAGTCTCTTTCTGTGTCTATATCATGTATGCTCTGTCGCATTTGTTCATATTCATCCACTGCCTTCCCCTTCCCCTTCCCCTTCCGCGCATAAACTTGATCAGTACCTTGTCGAGTTCCATGATTTGAATCTTGAGTGGCATGTGTAAAATATTGCTCCTCAGTCCATTCACCACCCTCAAGTTGTGTAGACGAGACCAACGACTGCTCGGCATCACCGCCATCATCTGTTGAGGCACTGCTGTCCGTGTTGCTGTCATGTCTCTGGACCGAGCGAGAAAGAGAATGTGATTGTGAAGGTGTCTCGTCGCCCGACTCGATTCTTTCCAACGATGCAACTGATGCTACTGCCTTCCCCTTTGCCTTTGCACGTTGGGCGGACGAGTGTGACCGTTGGGTATCGGTAGTTCCTCGAGCAGTTTGACTCCTATCATGTTGTAATCGAGGGGGATTTTCTACCTGTTGGGGTTGTGCTTCTTCTTCTTCTATTGCCTCGGTGATAAAATGTGAAGGACGCTGAGGATCTCCCGCCTCATCAAGTAGAGGATCCTCTTGGTTCTCTGCTGCTTCAAATAGGGGAGAGAAGATTGGTTTAAATAGGAGGAGAAAGGGCTACAGTGTGGTAATGGTCGATTTCGACCGTTACCGAGTGGTACCGGGCGGTAACGGTCGAAATTTCGACCGTTACCGCCCGATATTACCCCGTATCGTCCGATACGGGTTTTTTTTGGGTGTACCGCCCGTACCGTACGATTCGGTATGTCAATCCTTGATTTGAAGGTTATACTGATTTTTCTATCTTATAAATAAATTCTATTTTCGAAAAAGAAGAAAGGTGACATGTAGGAGGCTGGCAAGAAGGATGCCAAAGAAGAGAAATAAAAATCATATGACTATATATATGGAATAGAGGAGACGTGCTATTGTTGTGTTTGTCATTTGCCATAAGCTATAATGTTGGGTGTTCACTGCTACTATGTTAATTATCACTGTCCTCTACCACACAATACAAAGGGGAGAATATATAGTAGCCCTTCATCTCTCAAGGGAATCATCACAAAAGGGGAGATGCTTTTGAATTTGAGATTAATTCCAAATCCAACGGGTGCTCTGTTCAAATAGTCATTTTCATGTCATCGTTTCATTGTCCAACATGTCATCTGCATGAAGTTTAGAGAAGCACAACTTTAGACCCATTGTTCTCTTTAAAACTACTAGCAAATTTGTTTTGGATCTTTTTGTGTGCCATATGTATGATAGATAATTGTTGCAATAGAAAATTTTAAGGTATTATTGAATATTAATATTTACTCCTATAATGAATATATCGTATTAATCTTAAAGTTGGTGATAGATATTACAGTTGAATAGCTTATTCTAGAATAAATAATAGATTTTTAATAGAGGCACTTGCTTGAATCTTTCTTGTTAGTCTGCAAAATTCCATACCAGTATCCCTTTAGCTCTAAATTTATTCCTTGCCATTATGTAGAAGTTTATTTGCGTACTGTCTTCAGGAATTTTGAGTCAAGGAGCAACTGAAAGGTTAGAAGACGACCATTCACTGTCCATGAAGGAGCAGGGATGTTCTGTGCCTAGTCAAAAGGTTTTGGAGCTTAGGAAGAAATTGTTAAAGTTTATGCAAGATCATGTATACCAAAATGAGAGTGAATTTTATAGACTTTCACAATCAAGTCAGCGTTGGACAGTTCATCCAGATGAAGAAAAGTTAAAAGAGTTAGCAAAGCAGGAAGGCCTCTGGAACTTGTGGATTCCAGTAAGGCTTTATGTTCTATCTTTTTACTTCACTAATATTCTTAAGAATATTTTCAAGAAATGTGATGCAATTTGGTGGTCGGGATCTATTGCTTTCTATTATTGTTAGATACCTTCTTTTCTGGTTTCCATATGATTATTTAGTGTTTTGTTTCAGTTGCATATCACATTGATGCATTTGCAGTTAGATAGTGCTGCTAGGGCAAGAAAGCTGCTTGAAGAAGAAAAATATTTTTCTACTGGAGCTTCGAATAGTAACTTGCTAGGTGCTGGACTTTCGAATCTTGAGTATGGATACTTGTGTGAGATTATGGGCCGTTCAATTTGGGCACCACAAATTTTCAACTGTGGTGCGCCGGACACAGGAAATATGGAGGTAGTGTGATACTCATCCGGGTTATTTCCGTTCTATAGTCTTATAAATTTTCCTTTGTTATATTGCGAATATTTTACTTCAGCCTAATCAGTATATGCGAACATATTTTTGCATGTATATTAGTAATATATATTTATATATAATACTATTGGATCTTTATTGCTTTGTTACTAAATTTTTACTGTATAATGAAGCACATTATGCATTACATCTTTTAATCTTAAAGAACGCTGCTGGTGTAAGTCAAAATTTATGATTTACTGTTAGGTGGCCAACGGTAGCCATGTTTATGAAGAAAATAGGTGTTGGGCTGGAGGTTACAAGATTTAGGGTCACAGTGAAATTTATTAGACCTAAGAATGATCAAGAAATACCTAAATGTAGGCATGTCAATATGGCTTTAGCATGGAGAAACCAAGATTGACGAATGATGGTAACAGAAAAAGCAAGATTGCTTTCATGGAGAAACCATGCACAGTACGGATGACTCAAACCAGATAATCAACTTAATAATCAAATTAATTATGATATATAATCACAAGCCAGCGCACTAGGTATGCCCTTTACATCATCACAAATCAGCATATCGAGATGATAAATTATGAATTTAAGGTTGAATCCTTGACTGATGAAGGGACCTAAGCTGTTGGAATTTGTTAAATATCTTGAATTTTTGAAGGTGAATGTTGAGATACTTTCTTAATATTTGCTTATCAAGCATAATTTGCTCTGATTTGAACTTATAAGTTGCTAATAATAATTCATCATGGTTTATCATAATTTCTTTTTCTATAATTGTCCATTATGTATTCTGAATCAAGAGGCCAAGAAGCAAACTCATCTAGTGTTTATGGTAATTATGCAGTGTCATAATAGTACTTGCATAATTTCTGAATGAATGCTGTCAGCTTCAGCTGTCCTTTCTTCTTAACAGGAAGATGTATTATAAGCAGGCAACAATAATTTTAGCAATATCAAAAACTTTGCTAAGCCAAAATATGGTTGACAATGCTATGGTAAGAGATCAAGGTATTTATTCTGTTCCAGTATTGTCTTTTTTCAGGTTTTATTGAGGTACGGTACTAAGGAACAACTAATAGAGTGGCTAATTCCTCTACTAGAAGGAAAGATTCGGTCTGGATTTGCGATGACTGAGCCACAAGTTGCATCTTCCGATGCAACCAACATTGAATGCTCACTCACTAGGTAATATTCACTGGCAAGTTTTTTTCTGTCCAGACTGCTTATTTATTGTTTGAACATGTTTTCCTCAACATAGTGCTCAGTGTCTTTGTTGGGCTTGGCTTTTTTTGTCTCTAGCTAATGCTACATGCTTCTCTTTGTTATTGTCTTTTGGTTAATTGCCACATGGCAAGTTTACATTCTCTGTTAAAGAGCCATTCATCTCCATTTTTATTACAATCAATGTGTATATCATCAAAATCTTATTAGGATGAATTAGTCTGGAAAAATATTGACATTCAGTGAATGAAGAAGTTGAAGCAGATGTGTTATATCTTACAGGAAAAAACAGACGTACATCATATCTATTCTTGTTTTCGATTAATAGTATGTGATAGAGGATGTTGGTTGAGTATTATACAGAATGTAGAAGCACGACTTCTTGTTTACACAAGATTGCTTCAATGAAAAGTGTGCTTTGGTGGATGCTGCCTTTTTCTTGTTGTGTGTGTGTAGAGAGAGAGAGAGAGAGAGTTTCTACACCAGAATACCTCCCTGTTATTCCTTGCTTTTGCTGTCTTCTGCTGCAACTGTGGTCATATTGTTGTTTTCAGTCTTAAAAGATATATGTAAAACCCTTTGAGTGTTCTAATCTGATCTCTAAATTTTATAGTATTTCTACTTCGATAACAGATGTATCAAAAGAACCTTTTATTTATTTCTTATGTGTAAATCTAGTACTGCATAACAGATAAAAATAGTGCAGAATTAACCATTCCTTTCATATGTTAGCTAATTGATATATGGAGCTTAATTGGGCTTTTACCATAGTCAATTGTTACATGTAAGAATTAAGGAAAAAGTTCAAATGTGGTTGAAGCACAAAGTTAGGTTGGTTCAGGAAGGATAGAATCATGGAATCTACTTCAAGATAGAGTAGGTGAATTCACAGCCCACAAGAGGTCGTGTTGTATATTCAAAAGTCTGTCGAATTTTGAAATCATCCACTGCTCTGCGGAGCGCCCTTTGGTCAATCACTTTCATTCATTGAAGGTAGTTGACAACAGCCTTAGACAAGTGAGTGAATATATGGAAAATCCTTTCAACAAATCACTTTATTGTCCTCAGAACTGAAAAAAATAGCCTCCAAACTAAACAATTATACAGTGTCTAATAGCTTGTAGTTAGGCCCTGCAATTATCAGCTTCTTCCAGTTCAGTGACTTCTTCTAGGTTAAAGATTGTGTTCCTCTATAATATAATTCATGACCTGGAACATATATATGCAAGTAATACTCATATGGGCTTTCCATGTTATCCTTAAACATTACGTATCTTTAAGTTTATGGTCATCTCTTTCTCTTGCTCCGAGACCATGCTTTTCGTAAATTTTATCATCCATTTTTCTTTCCATCTTCTTGATTGGCTATTGTCTTAAGATGTATTTAACACGAAATGATGTGTTTTGAAATTTCAACTTTGAACTGATGTTTCCAAAAATGTGACATAGGCAAGGTGACTTTTACATCATAAATGGAAAGAAGTGGTGGACAAGTGGAGCAATGGATCCTAGGTGCAAAGTTCTAATAGTAATGGTAAGTTTTGATATTACTATCATGTTGTTCAAGACTAGAATGATACTATTATTCTTTTTATGGTATCTTAATATTTGAAACAAAAAACCATGTAGGGAAAAACAGATTTTTCTGCTCCTATGCATAAGCAGCAATCAATGATCTTAGTGGATGTCAATACTCCAGGGGTGCATATAAGAAGGCCGTTACTAGTTTTCGGTTTTGATGATGCACCTCACGGGCATGCTGAAATAACTTTTGAAAATGTCCGCGTGCCAGTGAAGAATATCCTGCTTGGGGAAGGCCGGGGATTTGAGATAGCACAAGTAAGCATCATTCCATCAGGAATTTGTCACAGAATATTCACATTTGCATGATATCTTCACATCACATTTTCAGGGTAGACTTGGTCCTGGCAGATTACATCACTGCATGAGACTCATAGGGGCAGCAGAACGTGGTATGCAAATGACAGTTGACAGAGCACTCAGAAGGAGAGTCTTTGGAAAGTTGATAGCTGAGCAGGGATCCTTCTTGTCAGATCTTGCCAAGGTACTTTCTCCTTGATACTCTTTTTTGGGTTAAGAATTGTATTTGTTATATGATATCTTGTGCCGGAGGAATGAAAATTCAAAAATATAAAAAAAGGATGTTAACTGGATTATTGTTGTGAAGTTGCTTATCTTGAAACAAGTATGACCACTGTTAAGATGTAAGTGCAAGTGTCTTTATGTGAGAAAAAAATACTTTCTTTATGGTCACATACTTGCATGTACTTTAAGCATATGGGCATGTAATTCACCAAGATGATTAAACATAGGTAGATTCAAAGTCCATTTACTTTATTCATATTATGTGGAGGAGGATTTTATATGGCAGTGGATTGGGTATCCGCAATTTTTATCCAACCCCAAACCTGAACCCAACCAGCTATCTAGGTACCCAAACCTCAATGTTGACCCAACTTGGATATACACTTTCCTCCCCAAACTCATTTCAAATCCAATTAAAGGGTATTTGTATCCGGTTTAAGTACATAAGGTAGACCTGGTTGCTCAAAAAAACCTGATCCCTGCCATCCCTGCCTGATGATAGAAATGACACTAGGTAGGTTATTCTAACCCAAAGCTGGACCAAAATTTGACTTGGATATATCTTTTGCACACAAATTCTGTCTCGTACCTAATTAAAGGGTATCACAATTGTTTAAGTGTTACCTGTTGCCATCCCCATGCAGGATCCTTTGCTTCAATACATGGATGAAACTAGTTGCTAACCTTGGTGGTTCTCGAGTTCATTAAGCATGCCATTTGTCATAGAGGACTACCTTTACTATAGGATAATATTTTCAAGCCCCTTCTTCAAAAACACCACTCAATTTAGTGAATGTATTCCTTTGATTTTGAAACCTATCGATATTTATTAAATCCTCATTCACATTGTTATTTAGAATTCTTTTTGTTATTGTTGATACTTCTTAGTCACCTATTACAAAATTGTAGCTCATGTTCGTGCTCTTGTGATCTCTGGGAGTAGCTTATTATAAACTTTCCAGCATTTTAATTATCAAAACATTATAAAACTCATCTTGTTGCCTATCAGTTTGGCCCATCAATGGTCTTTGTCAAAGGTTAGGTTCAAGCACTCATCTGCAATTATGTTAGATAGAATGGTGTCTGGTGGTGCCTCATGTGCTATACTAAAACATACAAATTGCTTGTTACTTTGTTCGACAGTTATCATAACCGAACCGGATTATCAACGCATTGAGTCTTGGATCACCCGGGTCATTTGTGGAATTGGTGGGTCAACTGGTCACGTTGTAGGTTTATAATTCTTTTTGAAAAGTAACATATACTTATAGGTTATGTAAAAATATAAAATAGAAAAATAATCTTTAATATAGTGAAAGAGGATGATAGGAACAAAACATACACATTGAAGGGATGAGAGGGTAATGAATATAATATGGTTTCCTTCTCTTTCTTTTTTTATATAAAAAGACTCAAGTGCCCTTGGGTTAAATTCAAGTATCTTTGCTAATAAATAACAAGTTAAGGGATTTTCAGGCTTTTCAAGTTTTGGATGGCGAACCAGTTCAGGGTACTGTTCCTGATTTTTTCGGTCCAGCCGTCCAGTCCATTTGATTTTATAAGTTTGTTTTATCCTATATATATGTAAAACATGTAAGCTCTTCCAAATACTAAATGAATTGTCGGATCGATATGTGCCAACCTATGCTGTCATTATCATTGGGAAAAATAATAATTAAGAAATGGAAAAAATTCATCATTGCTAATGTTTGATCCGACTGACAATTTGCCAAGCCAGTACAAACTATGTTTTTATTTTTGTGAAAACTACGTTAAAAAAGTTGTTATTGCCATTTTCTATCATTTTGGACATCTGAGATAAAATGTCCATGTCGAAGCATCCCTAAGATCTTACAGATTTGTCATTTGTTTTTCATAGTGCCGAGTAGAATTGGAGCAAGCGAGACTCTTGGTTTTTGAAGCAGCAGATCAGCTGGATCGACTTGGGAACAAGAAAGCTCGTGGAACTATCGCCATGGCCAAGGTAGAATGATGACAGCTACCTTGGAATAATTTGCATCTGGAATGACAATAGTATAAAAGTACTGGTACTACTCATCTTTGTCGCAGGTAGCCACACCAAGTATGGCCCTGAAAGTGCTGGACTTTGCAATGCAAGTCCACGGTGCTGCTGGTTTGTCATCGGACACTGTTCTGGCACATTTATGGGCTACTTCTCGGACTCTGCGGATTGCTGATGGCCCCGACGAAGTTCATCTGGGAACCATAGCCAAATTGGAACTTCGAAGAGCCAAGCTGTAGGAGTTTATAGAACTGCAACTCATGCCACACAAGCACAGCTGCAAGGGATGTAGTCTACATAATATCGAAAAGTGGCCACTAGGTTTGATGCAGAGATAGTACTCCAGTTGCTTGAATTTGCTGACTACTATCCGACTACATTTAAGAATTCGGAGCTTGTGGACAATGCAAATAATTATATGATTTGTAATAATTGGAGTAGCTTTCAGGTCCATTTAGTGACGAATATTTCCAGAGAAACTTTACATGATTCCAATGACAGACAGGGTTGTGGAGGTTGCACAGATCCATTCCCATATGCATACATGTATTGCTGACTAGTTCAGATAAGTTTGTGATGTCCTCAGTGTTTTGCTACAAGATTTGCTTCGGCTTTCATCAACAAGAGCAGTAGCAATTCACATCGCTTCAATATATTACTGGTTATTATGAAGTCAATTTAGTTCTTATCTCACCAATAACGTCATACTTTTTGTTCCAGGACGAACTGAGCATCTCTTCTTGTCCTCGATACTTGATATATGTTCTTAGTTTACATGGTTTTGAGCCAACTTCTTTGCTGTCTTTGGATTCTGAATCGTTCTTGTCGTTCATTCTTCTGCGACCTCAGATTATGGTGCAGGCATTTGGGTTCTCGTCACTGAACATAGTGGCAATCTGGCTTCCATCTCCGCTGCCGTACCTCATGTCTCGTGCAGCCGATACGTAAGGATGCGGCCTATGGCCGCTGCTGATACCGTAGCTGTGCATGACAAAAGGCTCCTCGTATCTGCTCTCATGCGCGCCCGAGGGGTCATGGCTCCACTGCTCCCTGTGGACGAAGCTGTACGGGTAGTGATGCACCATATGGATCTCCGCCGCGCCTTCTGGTTCTGCTACTTCGTCTTTGGCATCCGCGGATGGGGTCACTTGGGGAGCATCTTTAGGTGGCTCTTCCGGTGTTTCCGGAGGAGACTCGCTTGGAGGCTGGTCAGCAGCGTCGGCCGCCGGCTCGGACCCGCCGGGCTCGGCAGCTGGTTCCGAGTGGGAGCAGATGGTGGCGAACTTCCCCGCCTTCTTGATGGCCTTCACCACCATCTCCGGATCAGCACTCCCCACCACCGTCAGCTTCTGCCGGGCGAAGTCTACATGGATGTCATGCACTCCTGATCAGCGACACAAGAGTCAGCAACCATCACCCCAAACCTTCTTCTCTCTCACCATCGACGTGATTCATTACCATGGACGCTGTGCACTGCCTTCTTGATCTTGTGCACGCAGCCGCCGCAGTCCATCCGGACCTGCAACTCCGTGACCGGCGATCTGGCCTGCGAATGCAACACAGCACATCTCAGTGCATGAATCCCTTCAAGACACCACGAATTTGAGCTGACCTACCTCGAGTGCCGGAGCCATGCGAGAGCTCGTTTGGGGACCGAGGAAGAGGACGAGGGATAGCATCGTATTTGTACCAAGAAGAGGTTGCCACTTGGAGAGGCTCCGAAGCTCGAGTGGGGCAACCTCGAGAGAATTTGCTTTGGCTCGGTCACTGTATTATCTCGGCCGACCACAAAAGTAAAGCGAGCACAATAGAAAAAGGCAAAGAGCAAGTGGCAATTCTGAGAGGCAATTGGGCAATATCCATTGCTGGAGGAATGAATCCCTGAGGGCCAAGAAAATTGAGCTAAGTTTATATTCTCCCCACGAATCATTCTGATACCGAGGAACCTATTGTGTTCGGCTCTTGGTGAGCACCATTGCCACATTTCTTTCATCAATTAGCTAATCGATATTGGCAGATCGACACACAATCAAATAGAAGAATGTAAATGGTTATCGACCACCCTCAACAGGCAGAATGTAAAGTAAACCCATAATAGAAGAATTAGAAGCATCTTTTGAGTAAATCCATATCAAATTCCAAAGCTTCTTGTATATTCTATTCCAAACATTGTTTAATCTAGTAGAGATAGAAAGTCTTAATGCCTCTCAAACTATGTCAATTCTAATGAGGCTTCTGATGATTTCAGGTTGGTACAAAAACTAATGGCTTTGGCAGCCCACTTTTCCCTTTTCTTTTCTGCTTTTGATTGATGTGAGACATTCATTCCCTACTATGTGGTCTGGATTTTGACTAATTTATTCTGCAACTTATGCCAATAGACAAGCATCTCTTGTCATGGAAAGGGTGACAATGACTCTACCATGATCAAAAAATGCCTGTGCTTATCCTACAGTAGTGAGGTCAGCATTTATACTTCGAGAACTTAGTCTCGACAGATTGAAGTTTAAGAACATACCTTTGCTTTTGCAATGGCATAATAAAGCAATCACAGAATGAAAATGGCAGTTGATGGCTCAACCTGCTGTTGTTTTCAACAGAGACAACCAAACAAAGTTTTGTCTTCAGCTTTTCTTAGGCTGACTTTTTCATTTAAAAGATTCCCATCTTCCTCCTCTCTTTTTTATTTTTTTTTTCTTTCGTAAATAATGTCATATTTTGATCTCAGTTTAAACCCTGTGAATTAGGTTGTCGAACTAATCCTGTTTAATTGGAACTCAAACTCTCGTTACGGATCGATGCGATCGATTTTAAGCCAAATGTGATTTGGTTTGATTTAAATTCATTTTAAGACCAACTATTTTATTATAGTTGATAGCAAAATTTTGTCTTCACCATAATTATCATATTATATTAAGGTCATCCATTCATGTCAGGAATCCAATGTTCTATTCCATATGTTTCAGTCTGCTCCACAAATTATTATTGAGAAGTGGGATCATCCTATTTATTCTTCTTGATCAATGATCTGTGATATGATCAAGGTAGGTAAATATATTTGTATGTATTCTTAGAAATATTTGCCTTATGCATTTATCAACATGGAACTTTGTTCATAAACATCTTGATTAGTAATATATATATGTGCTAATGTAATTATATAAAATGTTATGTTGTTATTATTCTTTTTGCCTTTTTCTCAACATGAATTGCTCCCTATAATTTCTCTTTAGCATTTGTGGGTCTTCATACAACAATCATGTCATCATAATTCCAATTGTTAAAGAAATGGCAAAAATAATGGAAAGCTTCCAAGAAACTCCTGTGTTGAAACAAATAAGAAATAATTAGTTGATATATATGAAGGAGTAGCAGATGTCACAGTGGTCTCATTTCCTTTCAGGAAGTTTCTTGGTGAGTGCAGATAGATGCATGGAGGCCACTCCTTACACATAATGGCAACTAAAAACATGCACAAGAATTCTAGGATGAAGAGGTCTGGCAGTGACTTCCATTGCATAATGATACCAACCATGTAGCAGCATTTGCACAATATATAACATCATGCCATGCATCTTCTTCTTTCATCCATCTCTACTCTCCTTTTGCGTAGGAAACCTCGGAGTCCTCCAGTATGGAGCTGGAGGAGTGGGAGTTGCTCACCGAGAATGGCCTCCTCAATGCAAACCAGCAACCCTATTTCTTCCCACCAACCTGCAGCATCGATGCTGACTACTTTGCAGGCTACCCGAGAACAACAAAGGAGTGGATTCGGCACGATGCAGAAGCGACTTCACGTGAGATTGCGCCGGCAGCGGCCGCCGACCTTGAGGAACCGGAAGAGAAGGAGTCCTCTCCGCCTTCGAGCTTCGATGTCAGCGAAGAAGATGAAGCCCTTGTCGGGGAGTACTTGGAGCGGGAGATGCCTGATGACTGCAATGGCTTTTGTTCGATGTGGAGATTGGCCGGTGTGGGAACTCTTTGCACGGTAGGTGTGGCTGCTGCCGCGGTGGTGATCATGTTCATGGTTGGCAGAGATCGCAACCAAAGGAACAAGGCGAAGTCGAGGAGGAAGACAAGGTGATGGTTCTGTAATAAAGAAAGCACATTCGATGTTGTGGTTGTCTGAGTTCCTCCTTTCTCCTATGAGCACTGATTGCCGAGATGTCATTTACAGTCTCCTATATGGCAGTAGTAATATGTTCTTGAATGAGATGACACAAACCTATGCTAAATTATGAAATCACTGTAACTTTATCGTGCAGTACTCCAATCATGGTGCAAATTTTAGGCTTAATCTGTCATATTTCAGATTTATTTAAAAAATATATTATTTTATTATTCATAATTTACAAAGATTTTTTTTTTGTATCTTTGAATTCAAATCAATGTCTCTACAATTGTTATTTTTTAATTAAAAAAATTAAATCTTCTTACTAGGGTGATGTAATCATATTAATAACCATAGGAATCTTTGAAAAATCATAAAAATTATTTTTATGATTAATTTGAAACCATACATAATTTAATTTAAATTTATTTAATTTCAGTCAGGTGGGCTTCAACTGATCAAGTTAGTTTGGTATCATCTTGAATCAGCTTGAACTAATCAAACTCATCTAATCAGTTAATTAAGGAACTTAAACCAATAAAGGAAGAAGAAACTGGGTTATAATAAATTGAACCAACTGACCTGAGTCTTGAACAGGTCACGTGCGCCGCACATACCTATCTCAAGTTACATGTTAGGTTGAGATACAATAGGTTGGATAGAAGGGCGACGATGTGTTTAGTGTCAGTCGCATAATTGGATGAGCATAACTTCACGGCTTAGGTTGAGTCTCACTCACAAGTTGAGTTAAGCCTTATCACTGAAGTTAATCACGCTTAGCTTGCGGGTTGTGTCGTGCATAGCTACATAGATTGGGTCATGCTTGGCCACATGGGCTGGGTCGTACTTGGCCATATGAGCCAAACCATGTTTGGTTACATTAGCTGGATTATGTTTGGTCACATGAGTTGCATCGTACCTCGCTACATAGGTTGAGTTATGCTTGCCATATGAGCTGAGTCATACATAGCCACATGAGTCTGATCATGCTTAACTGGATAGGTTAGACAATACTTAGCTATATGGGCTAGGCCATTATACATGGTCATATGGGATGAGCCACACTTGATCACATAGGTTGGGTCATGCCTAATCACGTGGGTTGAGTTGTATATATCTACATAAGTTGGGTCATGTCTGATCAAATGTGTTAGGTTGTACCTACCCATTGGGTCATACCTGATCACACAGACTGGGTCATGTCTAACCACATAGGCTAGACCATACCTAAACATATATATGTATTGGGTCATGCCCGATCATATGAGCCGAGCTGACTAATAAACTTAACTTAGGTCAACTCTAATTTGACTTCTATTATTAAATTATATTTTAATAATTTTTATAAGAACTTTAAAATATTATAAAATAATAATTAATCTTAAATTCATTCTTTTTCGTGAAATAACTAATTTAAATTCATGATTCCAAATTTAAAACTAATTAAATCATAAAAATTCACACATAATTTCTTAAAATATAAATATATCTAATTAAAGAAATTAAAACTATTATTAACATTAAATTAACTAATCATTCTAACATCATAATTAAATGATCACTATTTATTAATCATAAAATTTTAAAATTAAAATATTATTATACATCATATAAATTATAATAATTTTAATATTAAATATTTTAAAATATAATACAAAAAGGTAAATGATCTTATCTCTTCTTGGGATCTTCACCTTAATTCTCGGAATACACTTTATATAAGAGAAGATAAATTTTTCCATAAAAAAAATAATAATCTAATTTTTATTTTTATTTTTATTTCACATGTAAGATAGAATTATAATATTTATTTTTTATGATTCACACACAAAAATAAATTTTAATTATATATATTTTTAAAATCACATCACTCATTATGAAATAAATAAATTAATAATTTAATTGATTGATAAAATTCTTAACTTATACACTTGATTAAAAATTAATTTTAATTATTTTATTAATTATATTATACAAACAAGAAAGTTAATCACTTAAATAAAATAACACATTATTTATGATAACTTGATTTATATTAAGGGAGAAAAAAATCATCGGTACATAATCTCTTAGACAAGCTATAAAAGGATACTTCCTACTCAACAAGACACTTTATACTCAGTAGTTTGGATTGGCAACAACTGTACACAGGGGAAAGAGAACATGAAAGATATCAAACATTTTTCTGTTAATTGCTAATCAATTAATCAAGTTTACAGGTATCATATATTCAAATGACCAACTCCACTTAATTGCAACATATGGTTTGATTGGAGAGAATCTCATGGACCTAATGCAATCAAACATTATAAAGTTTAGACAACTGCTGAGCATCTAAAAGCTCCAATTGATATATGAAATTCCCCCTCAAATCCAACACAAAAAAAGTTTGAATTCGATGGTGAGAAAAATTAGACTATAAAAAGACTTAACTTGACCATCAAACTATCAAAGGTGATAGTGAACTTTGTCTTTCTTGCTCTGATACAATACGAAATTCTAGTTTATAACTAAATCATCTAAAAGATTATGTTGATAGATGTAATAGAATGTTATGAACTACATTGAGACAGGACATGGCTGAGATATTATAGCTGCTGCCACTTATGACGTTTGTCTTTTGGGCAAAATGTCGAGCTTTGGAGGGAATAACAATTTATTGGCTTGCAAACAAGGTGAAGAACACCTTAACAAACTACTTAGCAGTCGATGAAAGAGCATACTATTGTGAGAGAGCTGCATTCTGCTGAAAGTTTGTGCATGCTTCAGTGAATGAAGGATAAGCATAGGTTCCATCCAATAAGCTGAGAGCGATGGTGCTGTAAGCAGCATCTGTAAAGTGAATCCCATCCCATGACAAAGAATCCGATGGATCGCTGCACACCTTTGACATTTGAGTACCACACATTTTGGACCAGTTGAAATTGTAGAGGCCATCACTTCCGCAACAGGCAGCAAGAGGTGTCTTAAATCCTGAAACCACATCGATGATCTTAGCTCAAAATGCTGCAGATGAAGTAGTATATTTGGGTAACATCAGTTGGTGTCTTAGCCCAAAAAATAAGTCGTTCCATTGCTCCGCCCTAAGGTCTTCTGCAGCTATGAATTCTCATATTGTAACACGTTTCACGCTTAATAGAAAGCTACTTCGGATCGATAGTGAAGTACATGATGCATGACGAGACAAATTTTGCAACAAGAATGCATGTTCCTCTGATACCTAGAGTCTCAAAATTAGCATGATAACGATCATAATTTGCAAACTACTTTATCCCTGGCAAGATCAAGGGCCTTATATTGATGGAAAGGACCAGAATTCAATAAATTGGTAATTTTTCTTTTTATTTTTGGAAATAAACTATTATAGGAAGCTAGTATGGACTCGATGCTATACACGCATGTCATAGTTATTAAAACAAAATACTTCAAGATGCTTTTGTATATGTGGCACAAAGCTCACTTCCAAGTAACAAAGTACTTTAGTAACAACTGGCTGAATATAGTTGTTAAGCTTTGTTTCCGATTCAAATGTGATAATAATGTAATAATGAGAGGTAAAACATACTTATCTTGGTACCAAGATAATATAACAAGAGCATACCAAATTGTTGGGGAGAGCGGAGTATATTCAGGACAGCTTCATAATAATCAGCATATATGATTGTGGCATGTGGATAAACTTTTCGAAGCTGATTGAGTTCATCCAGAAGCATGCTATTGTGGTACTCAGACAGCTCATTCAACCAGCTTATGCAGCCTGTTTGTGGGTCATATTCTTCTGCTACTGTGCTCTGGTAATCTGAAAGATATGCTGGTACACATCCAATTGGGAAATTCCCTGGAACAACCAATGTAGTTGCCCCAAGTTGGATCAAGACCTAGCAATCAAAATGAGTGTTACACTGGAGCAAATTCTTTTAGGAAACCTTGCAAAATGCCAAAATAATGCACACAGAAGCCAGAATATTAACATATCAAGATAGGTAGACTTACATCGACTGCTTGACGAATAGCATCAATAACACTTGGTACATAAGTTCGTATCTCTTGTATGCTTTGCTTTTGAGCAAATGCATAATTGTAGTCATTGCCTCCGATCTCGCCCAATAAGATCAGAGAATTGCTTAATATGTCCTTAGAGTCTGTCAGTAAATAGAAAACTTTGAGATGAATATAAAATTCGTAACATCTAACACAGGAGCAACATGCACTGCCTCTCCAAGAATTAGAAATTTTCTTATAACATTCCACAAGGAGATTATATAAATACTTGCAAAGATTTATGCAAAATTTTCAAACCAAGTTTGGCCAAGTAGCTTAGCTATATGATAAATCTGTAGGCCATGGAGTAGGTTTAGTGCTATCATCAAGATCATAGTTCAAAGCTAAACTTGTTAGAAAGCAATTAATGTGTTTAGTTTTTGCACAGTTCAAAACTGAAAAGGCTCCATGAATGATTCAATTAAAACTATGATATGATGAATAAGTAAGTGAATTTTTTGCTTCATATTTGAGGGAAATATGAAACACAATATAGAGGAAGGCAACAGGAAGAGTTTGTTGAACCAATCAAGTTTGAGTTCATAAGTACTCAATGCTGAATCCACAATTAATGTCTTTATGTATATTTTTCTTATTACTATGTTATTCAGTAGATTACTTAATCTAATAATTTTCCCTAGAGATTGATGTGAGGAACATTTGACCAACTCTACAATCTCATCCGATAAAAACAAGACGAGGCAGAAAATTCGAAAGCTTGGAGGTAATGTACGCACTTGATTCGGAGCAGAGTATAGGCAGTAGTTGTTTGAACCACTCAAGTTGAACACCCAAGAAGTACTCCATGGGCGAAAACTGAAATCCCTTGTCCTCAAAGAAGCTGGCGTTGAGCGCGGTGGCTCCTGCGAAGGCAAAATTCGCTCCGTACCGGAAGTCCTCGGCGTTCCCTCCTGCGAGATACGGGCGCAGCATCGGTAGTCCCATCGCCTCCGCTGCGCTCACCAACAGCTTGATATCTCAGACATCCAATCTTTGTAAGCTTAAAAATCATACCCTTTTACTATATATGATGAGAAGAAAACAAAGAAAATCGATGTTCAATTGGGGAGAGTCATTGAGTACCGTCCAAAAGCTCATGTCAAGGACAAACGCAATTAATGCAGAGAGAGAGAGAGAGAGAGTGCAGAACCTATGAAGTCGACGATAAGTCGGCCATCGGAGAAGCGGCCGGTGGCGTGGCCGAAGTAAGTCTGGCCGTACGGAAGATGGCGAACAGACTCGACAATGATGCCGCTGTTTATTGCATTTCCGGTGTCCGCGATCGAGTCGCCGAAGCTGAAGATGGAAGTATAGCATCCGACGGCCGTGCCGGTGAAGAGCAGGAACAGCACGACGAGGAGGCGAAGGCCGCGGCCGGAGGCCACCGGAGGGGAGGAACAGCTAATCATTTGTCGGCTCGATTCGCCCTCGAACGCAATTTTTCCCCCGAACTTGGTATCCAGAAGAAGAGATGAACCTGCGTTATATGCGTTCGTCATTTACATCGATGTCGTCTCGGACACTGATTGGAGAAAATTCATGTGGGACCCCAAGTAAGTCGAATAATCTCCGAGGAACAAGTAAGACGGGTGCACGTATTCGGTCAACCGAACCACAATAGCCGAGATCAGAGATTTATTCGAGATAGTGGGACCCGCATGTGGGGTCAAAGGATCCTCCAACAACAGGCGGAGTAGGAAAGTAGGTGAAGTCTAAACGAATAAAAAAAAAACCGCTTTCAGCATAGTACGCCAAACGCTCTGCACTTATTGGAGGAGAGGCGGGGCCCGCGTGGGCCCTTTCGTTCAAATAATTTAGGGAATAAAGAAGTCTTTGAGACGCTTTTTGTTTGATCGTGACGCGACCACTTTAAGCGAAGTGGCCGGCACAGCTTGTCCACGAGAGTGAGAGAACCGACGGCCACTGAAACTTTTGGGCATTTAATTATGTTTTTGAGCATGTGATGCATGATTGATCTCTCAATCAGTGACCTAAATTTTTATTCCAGGAACATATGTTGCTAGTCGATGCAGAAATCAACTAATTTCCAGAGTCCTAATATTCCTACAAATTAACGAAGCAAGAAGAACATTGTACTTTAGCATCTCCTGTAGCGCAAGAGCAAATGAAGAACGAGTGCCGCAAGAATATGTTTAATTCAATGCTGAAAAATGAACACTTAAACGATTCTAACTATCCTGCGTTGATACCTTCCATGTTCTCCTGGAACTCTAGGAATCCAAACTATAAGCTCTACCAGGCAATGCATAAACAAGGATTTTTGGATGATCAAACTGACTTTTCTACTCCTTTCTCATAAGCTTCATGGCAAAATGCAGCATACAAATATGTGGCCGAGCTTAATTTCTTTCTTGCATGTTTAGCTCGAGCAAGTTTGGTTCAACAAAGGAATGGCGAATGGCCCTCTGATCAACCCATCAGAAATGGCACGGTAAGTTGCCTCGGTTGGGTGGAATCCTTCCCAAGAAGCATAGGCTAATGGATTGCTGCAAACAGGTCCAGTTTCATCGCATCCATGTCCGTGGCCTCCGCAGCAAGCAGTAAAAGGTACTGTGATGCCTGCAGCAACATAAATATCATGCTCTTAAAAACGATGGTAAGTAGTAACCTTTGATCAAGAGAGGTGCGGCAAGTGCATATTTCTTGGACACGAGGATTCATGGAACAGTAAGAAGCTCACCGAATTGTTGTGGATTGGCGAACATCCTCATGCCGGATCCGAAAAGATCAGCGTAGGCGATGGTTACATTCGGATAAAGCTCCATGAGCCAGTTTAGCTCATCCTGCAACGCTTTGTTGTGGTACAGCGACAAGTCATTCATCCACACGAGGCAGCCATGTTCATCATAGTCTCCAGAATCTGTGCTGTAGAACTTTCCGAGCCACTCCGGAACACAGCCTATCGGTAGGTTTCCGGGAACTATGAAGTTTCTCGCGCCGAGTTTGATCAAAGTCTAGCTTTCAAATGGTGAAGTGAGTTTGACGAAGCAACGTGTATACATGTAGCTGATTACATGTTCATAAACAAGAAGTTTTACGAGACTTACGGTGATCCCGGAGCTGATTGCCCCAAGCACAGAGGGCACAAATACTTTCGTGATCTGATCTACCGGTATGCCCTGAGCCAACGCGGCGTTGTAGTCATTGCCTCCTATCTCCCCCACCATGAACAGCGAGTTGCCCAAGAAGGTTGGTTCTGGGAATGCATCCCTTGTTAGAACAAGAATTCAAGTTTTCGTACAACTCTCTCTCTCTCTCTCTCTCTCTCTCTCTCTCTCTCTTTGATCTGAAGCTAAGTTAAGAACATGAGTGTCGAGAATCTCACCTGCAAGGGACGGCTCGGATCGAAGCAGGTCCTTAAACCACTCAATCTCGACGGCCAAGGAGTAGTTACCCCAACCGGTAACATCAAGCCCAAGGCCGGCCAAGGCGGACTTGTCCTGCGCTGTGGCCCCTGCAAACGCGAAGTTGGCGCCGCGTGAGAAGTCCCCTCCTCCACGGATCGGCGGCACCAGCGGCAATCCAACGGCTTGTGCTGCAAGTTTCATCCGAGAACAAGAAAACGATTACTGCGTCAAGTTTCATTCAACTATGAGACGCAGCAGTGGTTGATCAGTGCGACGACAGACCGATGAAGTCCAAGATGAGTCGGCCATTGGAGAACCGCCCCGTCGCACGATGGAAGTAGGTCAGGCCCCAAGGCGGCTTGCTGACGGAGGTATTAGCGTAGGTGTTGACGAAGTTGCCTGTGTCTTGAAGCGAGTCGCCGAAGCTGAACATGGCCGGAAAACAGCTGCCGTTTGCGTGGTGGATGTTCAGTAGAAGCAGGATGACTATCATGAGGTGAAGACGGTTGCCGGAGGCCATTGTTATGCAACCAGGCGGCTCCTTCGACGGCTTGTGAAGGTCTTCACCCTCGGGTTACCTGTGTTTCCACACAATATGACATGTTAATTGCTTCCTACGTGCATGGGATCTCTCCCTTTATTCTCGAAAACACTCTTTTCCTTTCCTTTTTTATCACTGTCCTAAATACTTTCCTCAGAAAAAATTAGAATCGTCGCCTTAAATAGAGGGAAAGGAGGACGACGTTAGCAGTAGTGCGCATGCATGACGAGCAGCTTCACATGCTGACCGTGGACGAAAGATAAGAGGACGATGGGTCGTGTGGAGAAGACGACCGACACCATTGCGCTCATTCTCAAAGACCACATGAGATCAAGCCATGCACGCGACCCGTCACCAAACAACAAGGGCAAACTCATCCACTCGTCCTTCGTGGAATTAAAGGTATGTTTAGAGTAGAACCAAAAAGATCCAACTACCAGCCCTATAGATTATTCAATCCATACATGATGATCGATCCTTTTCTTTATGAAAACAAGTAAATTTATTCTGAAACGCAAATATATTATTTCCATTAACATACGTAAAAAAAACTCATATTAACTAACCACTGTGATCATAGTTACTATTGGTTAGCTCGAGCTAAAAAGTATAGTGAGTTTTGAAATGATATTAATCTGCTCCCTTCTGGTTTCATATATGCATTCTACTTAGTCTTCATAAATTGATGTACTATTGGAATTTAATGTTCTTTAAAATATTGGTTCTTTTTTTATATTTAAATTTACATGTTTTAGAATATGGAGTTCCAACATTTAGTGGCCTATATGGAGTTGCTTTTTCTCAATTAGTGTTTTTTATTCAGCATCAAATACAATATGAAAAAAGAGTCTTGTCCTACTATAATGAAAAAGAAATTAAATAAAAGAAATGGATAGACTTCTTTGCAAGAACACTACACAAAAGGACACTCATTCTATTGACATACAATAGACTTGACAAGCAAGAACACTACACAAAAAGACACTCATTCTATTGGCATACAATAGGCATTACAGTGACCTCCATCAACTAAGTTCTTATCACTCAAAAAGTACAAACAAAGTAGTCCAAGGACAAACACATCAGCAACTACCAAGACCAACTACCTTTCACGAGGCAGCAAGCAGCCCTCCCACCCAACTGTCACAAGAAACCATTGCCTTGCACTAAAGAAAGCTTGCATCAAACCCTAATCATCATATTTACTTACCACCTCAGTTGTTTTGTCAGCATAGAACGAGCTACTCTTCTTCATTCCAAAGTCATCATGAGATTGAGGTTTCTGGGCTTCCGAATATAACACTAGTAATGAGCACTTAAGGGACCTCCTAATTATCAGTAATGAAATGCAACCCTTGTTTTGAGAAACCCTAAAGTATATAATAATTTTGTGGACTACGCACTTTGATAATTGAATATTCCATATTTCTACAACCATAAAATGTTGAACAATGTCGATCTAGCAAATTCACGAATTTTCCCTTCACTGTGAGTTTGAGGTGCATCAAATAAGCTTTATAGTGTTACACAAGCAAATGAAACATACTTAATTACATGAAAATATTTCAACAAATCCTAAAATTAATAAAATTAGAAAGTCCAAATGCAGTAATTTTTTATTGGACAAACTTTACATTTTTACACTCTTTAATGAAATGTATTAACGTATCAAATCCAAAAACCCCTAAAATAAATATAAATGAGGTAAACCAATAGAGTAAATATTCATGTTATATTATTCTTGAAGTTTGAGTTTGAGGCGAGTTAGAGAAATTTTACGGTATCGTACTCGTAAATGAAATACCATTTTTAGGTATTTTTAAGTTTTTAATTCTAATTTTACGGTTGATTATATAATCGATCGGTTCATTCATTAGTTTAACACTATTATATTTGTTCAACTCATCTCGATCTTTTAATATACTAAACGGAAAAGATATAAATAGTAATTTCTTTATATATATATATAAATTATTTTAAAAATTTTAGGTTAGATTAATACTTAGTACGGATATAATTATCTTTCAAGATTACTATATTATGAATTTTTTAATTACTTATAATTTAATTTTAATTTTTTTAATATTCTAAATTATTCATTTGTAAATGTATATAAATACCCTTCTTTTTTTCTCATCCTTTTTTTTTTTTTTTTTGTCTCTTCTCCCTCGAGCGGGCGATAGGGGAGGTCGGATGAGAGTTAAAAAAAGTTGTGAGGAAAAAAAAAGGATAAATAGGTAATATATGGATTATAAATAACAAAATAATATTTTAATTTTTTTTAAGGATTATCAATAGTAAAAATTTATAAATAGTAAGAAAAATAAGAATAGTAAGCTTCGCATCTTTGCCTTTTTTTATAATTATATATATTATTGAAAAAGGAACTAGAAACTGTCTTTTTTACCGTTGGATCAGGATCTTTCTAGCCATTATTTAATCAACGGATATGATGATCTCAACTGTCCTTCCCGTGTGCGTGGTCGGCCCGCGAAGTCATCCTCCACCGGACCTTTATCGATCTGTCATGGCTTGTTTTTCTTGGATCGACGCTTAGGGTTAGGGTTATGGTTATGGTTTCTGCAATGGCGTCCGAACTCAATAGCCTCACCGGAGCCAACGGAACCCGCGAAGACACCGTCAGCGTCTCCCCTGAACGCGGCGCCACGCTGAAGGACGAGCAGCCGCTCCTCAAGTCCGACCCCCCCGCAGCAAGCCCAACGGCCGAGAGCATTGAGGAGTTGGAGCGAAAGTACGCACCGTATGTGCGGAGGGACGCGTACGGGACGATGGGGCGAGGCGAGATCCCCGCGACGGAGAAGGTGATGCTGGGGATCGCGGCGGTGACGCTGGTCCCGATCCGCTTGGTGCTTGGGATGTTGATATTGGTGATTTACTACCTGATATGCCGGATTTGCACGATGTTCTCCGCTCCGCATGAGGAGGATGGGCAGGAGGACTACGCCCATATGGGTGGGTGGAGGAGGGAGGTGGTGGTCCGATGCGGGAGATTCTGTTCTAGGGCAATGCTCTTTACGTTTGGTTTTTATTGGATCAAAGAGACTCACAGGAGCATTGGAAACGAGGTATATACTTGACCCAATTGATTCAAGAAAGATAATAACTATGAATTGGTTTTTCATTATGTCCAATTGTTTCTTGAATAAAGAATTGTTGTGAAACAAATCAAGTGGATTTCATGCTCACACCATCCTCTGCTGGTATTAATGGTTACTTGGGCATGCATTTCGAGTTACCATCTTTTCATTTAAATGTCTAGCTTTTAAGAGTTTACATAGTACATGAGCTAGACAAACTTTGTTTCTTGAAAGCACTTCATGAGAGACTTGCACAGAAGGAGAGTGTGAACAATTAACCATCATGAATGCTTGATTCAAATTATTAAAGTGCATGCATGCTTGATTCAAATAATTAAAGAGCCTCCTAAGAATACTAATAATAAACATGACAAGGAGATGCAATAAACAATTATTTGCACCTGACTATATTGATATTTTCACGTCATCGAGCTACGTCTCCCTCCACCTCATCTTATAGTACAAACCCCAATTCACTCATCTAATATAATCATATCATTTATAGTCTCCTTTGAATATCTCCATGCCATCTTATCATTTTATCCTCTGTTAGGCCTATACCTAATTGGTTGTGAACGAAAGATTATCTTATTTTATTTTTCCTAGTAATTCTATATATCTTCTCAACATTTTATCTTAGTTACATTTTTTGTTCATTTCATTTTATAATTACCCAACACTCTACATAAAGCAATATTAGCGATACAAGTGTCTTATAATTAGGAAGGATCCCCCTATGATAGGAAGGATCCCCCTAACGACTCCCACCAACTCTTCACCCTTGACTCCCTCTCTTGAGCTACCTTCAAGTACTCAGAAAAGCCCTCCTATCAAGCGGAATGTCTTCCCTCGGACACCGTTTCTCCTTTTGCAACAGAAATTATGCTTGATGCCATTATCCATTTTGATCACCCGAAGTTTATTTTGAGGACAATATCTTCATCAATTCTCCTCGTTGAATCATAGACTCAAGATAGCTAAAACTTATACCCAGAAAATCTGTTTATTGTATATAATATGCATATTTTTTCCCTTCTAATTTGTCAGGATGGCTGCAGAGATCAGGCTGATGAATCGGAAAGACCAGGTGCAGTTGTGTCTAATCATATTTCATATGTGGATATTCTCTATCATATGTCATCATCCTTTCCAAGTTTTGTTGCAAAGGTATGTTATTTATCACATCTATGTGAAAACTAAGAAGCTGATGTATATGTTATATTGATCTGACATATTGCAATTTTGCCGTCCTGAAATTCATTGATGAAGAGATCAGTAGCTAAGCTTCCCCTAGTTGGTCTCATCAGGTACTTGCTTCTTTATTTTGTTAGTTTGTTATTTGTAATTTACTGTTGAGACCTTGTTTTGTGATTTTGATGCCAACTAGTCTAGCATATTTAACTTGGTACTAGATTCTATGCTGCATCTATTTATCATCATTTTAAGAATTACTACATTCTTTTCACTCAGAAAGGAACATTTGAGTATAAAAATCTGAATATTTTTTTATTGATTTGAATTAACTAATTTTGGGCTTTTCCCCTGCAACCCTTACATTTCTTAGAAAAAGTCTTTGTGATGCCATAGCGGCACTTACTTTTGTAAGATAGATTTGGTCTTCTCTTTAAAATTGCTGATCTTTTGGTAGACAATAAATAGCATGTTTACCTAATAAAAGATGGTGAGAATAAAATTTTCTTCTTTAGTAGCTGTAGATGCATGATTGCCAAATTGAAATAAGCATATTACTTTTTTTTTGTGGATGATACCGTATTCCTCGTTCTATGTTTATCTGAATCTTTTTCACCAAATGGGATTATGGTCCAGTGCCTCAATCTTGATGAGATCATATTACTAGTAAAACAATACCAACCTAACCCTGACCACATATGTCATGGTGAGCCTCTTTTTTGGAGTTGTCGTATGAGACAGATAGTTGAATTATGTCTGGAATTAATTTAAAAGGTGCTCCTCAATGTTGAATTACAGAAGTCATTTTTAGATCAATTAAATTGTTAATTAGTTACTTAGATCAAAGTTCACCTTTAGGATCAACAATATGAAAATATTCTTTTAAATGAGGCACCCTAAGAAATATTATTTAGACATTTTAACAAAGTTTGAGGTCATCTTACTATATTTCATTTTCATAAGCTCTAAAAGTCCTGATATGGATTCTGCTATTTATCTTTCAATTTCTGAAAAAAAATGGATAAAATCACAGGCCTTTAGATTGTAGTACAATTTCTTGAAAATTACAATGTGGATTTGTGATTTCAATTTCATCTAATTTCCTGATGAGCCAGCTAGATGATGGCTTTGCTATTGCTTTTATTGCAGCAAGTGCCTTGGTTGTGTGTATCTTCAAGGCATGTATTCAATTTCTAAAAAAAATATTAAAATCATAGGCCTTTAGACTGTGACAGCTGTTTCATGAAAATTACAATGTGTACTTGTGATTTTAATCTCATCTAATTTCCTGATAAGTAAGCTAGACGATGATGGCTTTGTTATTGCTTTAATTTGCAGCAAGTGCCTTGGTTGTGTCTATGTTCAACGAGAGTCTAAATCCTCCGATTTTAAAGGTGTTTCAGGTACATTAACATTCACAAAATTGAATGTTCTTTACAAATATTTTAAGCCAGAGAAGATCATATACTGGGGCAGTTATCTCTATTGAAGATATTTTGTGCTCCGCTGGACTATGTCCACCCAAAGAACATGAATTTATTTGGCTGGCCTCTACATTGCTGTGTTTATTCTGCATAAAAATAATATCCTTGCCACTATTTTTTTTAATCTTGTGAAATTTGCATTTGGCGTATCTAAGTTAAGTCACAAAATGATCATAGGTGCAATTGTGTCTACTCTGTAAAATGTGTTTAGTGTTTAACAAGCTAACTTGTTGAACATGCAGGATGACACTTGGTAGTTGGTACCACAATACATACTTTGTTACCAAGTGCCCACATGAATGATCTAATAGGTGCAATTACAAACTATTCCAATATCCTTGTATTGATTCAAACTGCCATAGAGAAAAAGATATGATCTAGAATTCACAAAGGCTTGATACCCTTTACAAGTTCATGTTAGTATAAATGATTTTGCAATTAAGATATCTAACACCAAGGGTTGCAATCTCATACCGGGGTATTGTATTGGTCCCTTATCAAACTGGTATGTACCAACCGGTAATGGTGTCTGTAAACAAACAAAGATTGATTTTCACTTCTTTGGCAATTGGCTATAAACTTTTGTTTCTGCCATCTGTGGCAGTATAATTAGCAGTAAATTCTGTTTGCTGCATTTGTCCTCCACTATTATGCATTCTTTTTGCATCACTTCAATTATTTTTCATCCATTCAGGTGTGGTGACAGAAAGAATCCAAGAGGCCCATGAAAATAAGCTTTGCCCAATGATGTTGCTCTTTCCAGGTCAACATGCACTGCTGATTTTTTTTCTCATTTACCATTTTAATAAATTTATAGCCTTGTGGATTGTTAAATTCCTTTCATTGTCAATGCGAAGTCTGAAAAGGGTTGGGTTGCAATTAGGTAGATGATAGCCTAGGCAAAATGTTATTACTGGACCGAAATCTCTATTAATTACACTATAGGGCTAGGTTATTAGCTGAAGGTGATGTGTGGCCTCTTCACCACCCTATGCCTCGAAGAGTGTAGACTTGGAGGTTGCACAAAATAAGATGTGGTGGAAATTAAATAAGGGTTTTTGCACTTCTTTATCGCAGTGCTAGTAAAAAAGTTAGTCCAAGACCAGAGGTTGATGCTAGTAATTTCTTATGTGGGAATAATTTCAAAAAAAGGAAATAGAAAAAGAAGATTTGGCATAACAAAAGCAAGGATTTGGTGGAAAGTCAATAAACAATTGAAACACAGGATATGGATTTTTGTACGCAAGAAAAAGATATACATAGAAATCTGATTAATGAATGGTGACATAGAAATTTTGTTGAGAGGTAAGCAATTATATGCTGTATTAGAAGCAAGAAATGTGGAGATGTATCACTTTGTAGAAAAATCTGAAAACATGGATATTGATACAATTGAGGCACTCTTTTGGATTCTACATGTTTAATTTCTTAAATCTTGGAAAATAAATTGTCAGTGATCGGTGCATTGTGGAAAGTTCGGACGATATTTGTTATAAGGTTGTGTCAGTTAAATCCATGATCTATCTAACAAATATCAGATCCTATACACAGAAAGAGAGCCACAAAACATTTGGAAAATACTGGTATATGCAACCTAATAAGTAAATTATATTCCAAATCTAAGTTAGGTCCTTATATCAACAAACTAGAAGGGAAGAAGCAAACAAATATTGCTCTTTAACAAAAGTGAACTTTAAACTGAAAAGTGCAAGTTCCAACATTAATCTTTGTTATTGTTTGAAATGTATCTACCATGAAATTTCAGAACTAAGATATCAACATATGATTTTGCATCATTCAAGTGGTATAATGGTAGAAGTTATCTAGATAATTTAAGATCTCCTTTACTTTCCATATCTATAATAGATCATGGTTTAAGTGGATTAGGTTTGGCACAAAAGAAGAAAAAATAGCTAATGATTTTAGTTGAGTCTATATTTTGGTGTAGCTGATGCACAAATAGAACCATGGTCTTATTTTCTGCAAAACCATGTTTATTACCTTGAGAGGTCCTTGATAGCTGAGTAGCTGTTGAATGACAAGAATATAACAAATAAGGACTGGAGGGCGTGCTGATTTAAATAAAGTAAAAATAAATTATTTGTATAATGAGAAGTTCAATTATTGTTGTAGTATGTGTTCTCTTTTCAATAATTAGCTATCATGATAAAATTTAATGTAGTGTAGTCACATAGTTGAAAAGCTGATCCTAAAGTTGCTAAATCCTGGGGAATTATTTAAAAATAAAAATGGAATAATGTAATCTCCAGTCTCCACTATGTTGGTACATCCCTGTGCCGATCCGTACAAGTTTATCCGTAGGAGGAAGAGAAAGAGAAGACAATGGAGGGGAGGAGGGAGAGTTGGTAGAGGAGGAGAGAATGTGAGGGAGGATGAAGTGGAAGAGAAATTGAGGAGGCAGGTGATGTGGAACAGGAGGTGGCGGAGGAAGAGGAGGTAGGCAGTGATGCTATAGAGAGGAGAAGGCAACAGCAACAAGGGGGGAGGGGGAGAGCGAGAGAGAGAGAGAGAGAGAGAGAGAGAGAGAGAGAGAGAGAGGAAACAATTGTTTGACAATTCTTTTTATTTAAAAAGTGAATACAGGCTTACTATGCGAAATTGTCTGGTCTATGTTCTGTTGGTTGTCGGACCAGACTGGAATAGGTGGTATTTTTATCCTTGGAAGAGATAACTGCCATGTCCAAAAATCCAAACTCCTCATCTACGTAGTGGATTTTGATAATAATAAGAGAATTCACTAAAATTGTGAGAAGTTCATGAATTATCCACAGATAATGGAAATTCCACATTATGTACCAACTTATATTTAGTTTTTGAATAAACATATTAATTGTTTGCACCTTGTGGTACTATTGATTTATTTTCATAGTTTGTTGGAAAGTATTTTGTGATGGTTGGTTATGTTCTGCTTGTGTCTCTTTCTTCTCCTATTCTTCTTGTCATCTTCCTAATTTTTCTTAGCTAAATATGAAAAAAAAGAAAGAACACTCCTTTTCTAAATCACGTCTTAGACTGACAACCTCTAAAAACTTCATCTCATCTTTTCATGTTACTGTATTTAGGACCCTTATAAACTATGCACGATGGTGTTTCCATTCATCAGATCCCTTAAAACTTTGTACTAGATGCCAATCTTAACTCTTGTATTTGCTCACAACTTTGATGTGACTCTGATTGAGATATTCTTCAAAACAATGAGAACCAGCTTTCCAAAGAAGAACAAGAGGAGCAAAATATACTCCTAATCTACAACTATTTTATTGCATAAAAAAGATGTCCAATATCATGCATATCCTGTAGGGTTGATAATATCATATATTTATAGGATTACTAAGAGTTCCATAACTTCTTATGAGAGAACAGTTTCGTTCTAAGATAACCTTGTCAATCCACAAAGGCTTAAAAGTATACCTCTTAATAATTTAAGGATATAATAAGACTCTAGCATTAGCATAACCCAGAATAAGACTCCCAAACACCATAGATTAGTCAAGGTAAAATAATAAGAAAAACTAGCCAAAAGTCACTAGAAAACATAAAATCCATCCAAAATTGTCTAAGGTCAGCCAGTATAGGCCCTCATGTGTCTAGTTCAAGGTGCGAGTCGTGACCACTCCATAACAACTTGACCCACTCCTAAATCCACTTGTCCTTGTGGTGAACCTGAATCATTGTTTGGCCTGAGGTTCAATCTCTACGTAGCAAACAGCCAATAAAAATCACATGATCCCAATGATCATTTGGTCTCCTTGACTTTGATTCATTAAAAAGGCCTCTTAATTAAACTACAATCACCTCCATGTACTCATACTCCAAAGATCTTCTCTCTTGAAATTCTTGCAACTTCTACACAACTTTCCAGAATATTATGGACATGGCTTGACTACGGTTGCTTTTCTCTTCAACGGTGTCAGCCATGCCCAAGTTTTTGGTTCACCATACTGCTGTTTTGCTTCAAGGTACAAGCTTTTATGTTGGTCTTGTTTCTTTGTTATCAAAGATATGAATGTTTCATCCTCGATTCAAGGAGTGAAATATTATATTAATAAAAAATTAATTTGTTATTAAATTTATGTCTATTTAGCTTGAAGTCTTGATTATCAATTGAGATTTGAGAGTTTTCTGACAGCAGTGACTGGGGCAGTAAATGTTGACTTGATTTTTTTTCAAAGTTTTCCCCCTTGAAATTCACCACAATTCTCTAAATTGTAAGCTATGGCCCCTTGCCTCATCATCCTGGAATACCAATTTGTAATTGTATGAAAAAATAAGAAAAATTGCAAGGCTAAATATGCACATTTTTGTAGTAAGAGTTTGGGGATTTTGTTTTGTTTACATATAGTCAACAGTGGGATCAAAATTTTCTGGCCAAGTTGATTATAAAGTCAAACTAAAAAAAAGATCAAGAAAAAAGAATGGAATAGGGGTAAAAGATTGGCACTGTGGGTCCCATCCAGCCAAATCCAATCTCTTTAATAATGCTTAAAAATTGTATTTTTCCCTACCAGATAGACCACTGATAGGTAGATCTAAATGACCATGGTTAGGTTGCTTCTCTACAATATGATTGTAACAAATTCTATTGCTCGAAGCCTCAAAAGTTTATTATGTAAAGATGATGTATTTTCAGATTCACTTGAGTTTTACTTAATCCAGTAAAACATTTGATGTCATAGTTTTTTTCCTCTTGGTCCCAGAGGGAACAACAACGAATGGTGATTATCTTCTTCCATTTAAGTCTGGTGCCTTTCTGGCAAAAGTGCCAGTCCTTCCAGTTATTCTAAGATATCCTTACTGCAGATTCAGTCCAGCATGGGATTCCATATCAGGGGTAAGAAATCATGAGCCATTTATATATTAAGTATAACATTTTACTTTTCAGTTTTTACATAAGTTTATCCAATTAATCGATACTTGATATATGTTTTGAGTTATAAAATTTTTCAGAAATTCTTTTGCATTATCACTCAGAATAAGAATGAAATAGACCAGAACTCCAAGTTTTATAACATGTTGATTAGTGAATTAATTGGTACCAATATTGTCTGGACTCACGTGTTTAGGTACTTTGTCTTCCAAGACTGGACTTTGACTTGCTCAAACTTGGGATGACTCTATGAAACTCAAGTGACTTTTTAAATTCTACTGCTATTTAAGATAGCTTATCATAACAGACAAATACCAACTGATTTATCAGGTTAATAGTCTAACAGAAATATAATATCTTCTTTGTTAATGTCTATATAGTGATTCCTAAAACTAATCAATCATGGTATCTTTAACAGATTATTGTATTGTTATTTATTTGTAGATAACATATTTTATATGCACATATTATATTTTTTTATTTTTTTTTCAATAAATGTAACCTTATTTGTTTGGGCTTGCTGAGTTGGATACTTGGATATATCTGTACATATTCCTATGTTGGTGGCTAGGTAACACTGCTTGATGGAAGATAGTGACCTGACTTATCACTTTACCCTGATCTTCAATCATGTGTTCTTGTTTCCTGAAAATTTGTTCTTACATTACCTTGCTCCCATATCTCTGGAACTAGTAGCCAAATGCACTATCTTCTAGTATTCAATCTCATGCTAAGCCACCAAAATTTTATTTTTAGGCCCTTCTCTCTTGTAAATATTATTAATGGATACAAGATCTTGCATCATTACAAAGGGCGAAGACAAGATTTTACCATAACCATAAATTAGTCTTACATTTCAGATCTTGCATACTCCCTTTTAACTCTCTTAAGTTATCTTTTATTTCTAATGCCCTTTTTTCTTGAAAATTTGTAGGTACGCCATGTTTTCTTGCTTCTTTGTCAGTTTGTGAATCACATTGAGGTCATCTGGCTGCCTGTTTACTACCCTTCTGAGCAAGAAAAGGAGGATCCCAAACTCTATGCTAACAATGTTAGGAAATTAATGGCTACCGAGGTACCCTTGTATTTTTTTTTTTCAATCTTAATTTGGTTTGATCTTGTTGAAGATTTACAGCATCGTTAATATGGAAGTTGTGGTCTTCCCAATTAATAGTTTATGACTGAGTTTGTGTTAGTTCCAGATCTTATCATCAAGCCTGAACGTAGGCCAATTCAAACATATAATAGATTAGGAGGCTTGCGATGAATGATTTTCCTAGAGCTGTGTTCTTGTTCTTAGTTACTCGATTCCATTCCACAACCTTTTCAGTCTGCTATGACATCAAATCTTATAGCTCGTTAAATCTGCTTTTCATATTATTTGTATTGCTTATCAGCGGTCGATATGTGAATGAAACATTGCTGGTAAAGACTTGGATGGTCCTGTCCCTGGTTCCAAGAAGGGATCCGAGTTTCTCACAGCCCATGCACCCTTGAATTCAATTCTATTTTTGATCCGAGTTCCCCATAGGTTGGATTAGACATCGATACTCTAAGAAATGAGCAAAATAAACTGTCGAGACAATGCTAATATATAACTGCCTCTATCACCAAACCAAATGATGGGACTCAACAGTAGGTGGCTCGGGGTCCATGATCTTTTGAAGCTGTTAGTTGATAAGTAGGTCTGTTGGACCTACAATATTTTTCATCTACTTTGTGTTTAACCCACTTGAAATCCACATATTTGTCAGCTATCATGCATCTTTACTTTAGCATTTGTTAAAACATTGGATTCAGTTAGGAATATTGCAGCCCATGCCTTTCTCGCATGGGATATATGATTTGGTTTAGATTATTTTGCAATAATCTGATATTTTGGTTTATGAAAAAAGATATATTATTATACTATTTTGGGTTTGTTTCTTTGTTGACTGCAGTGGTTTTGTCCTTGTTTATGCTAAACATCCATTTTATAAGTGTCCATTGCTGAACTAATCTTATTTCCATGGTCAGAAGTAGTGACAATATGAATTTGTAGATGATATTTCATAGATTGACTTTTGGTCTGTTCTAAAATTTCATTTCGGTAATATCCAATCGCCGGTTGGTTTTCCGCAGGGTAATCTAACACTTTCAGATATCGGGCTTGCTGAGAAACGAATCTATCATGCTGTGCTGAATGGTAATAGTCTACCTCGTGTTTTACATCAGAAAGATGATTGAAAAACTATTGAACTCTATCACAAAGATTTGTACCATCAGTTGGGTTGCTTGTTCCATCCATGACACTTTTAAGTACTCTCAGATACGGTCATTGTTCACATTCTGAATAAAAAAGACCAGTGCTTACTATTGTGCTGTAAAATTGTGTAACCCAGTTTGATATGGTAATATTGTGGCTACAAAAATATGGACATTTGATGCCTTGGACTTTAGAATGCATGAACTGAGAGCTTTTTCTTAAGGTTTTTTTTTCTTTTTTCTTTTTATGGTTCATGATATCCATGGGACCCTTTAATACTTATATCCCTCTTGTATTGGTTCTTTGATTTAATGGCTGTTTCTTGGATGAGTATGTAGCCTTGTAAGCCTGCATAACTGAAACTAAACCATCTATTTGGTCTTCCTGCAGGTTTATGTGTCCAAAGCTAATTGGGAGTCTTATTCTTCTATAATTTATAAGAATTAAGCATAGAAATGAAAGCAATATTATGACACTGTATTTGTTTGTCATGCCTCACAATCTGTACAGCCTAGTACATGCTCAAGAAATTTCTTCCAGGGAGCATCTGCTACCATCTGAATCTTCTTAGATGCTCCACCAGATTGTTGTTATTCCCACATTTTTGGACACAATAGTCTCAGAGAAACACAGTTCCACTTGCTTATAGATAGCTCGTTGATTATTCTTTTATTCAAGGTATAGCAATTTGTAGTACTTTTTTATCTTTGAAACTGTCTTTTAGATCTCAACTTCCACAATGGAAACTGTTACAAATTGCTGCTATTCACTGCTGTGTACATTCATATCGAGCCAAACTCAGCTTACACTTTTACCCATATGTCTCACATGCAGATGTGAAACCTGAAACTTGTTCGTCTGAACCATTGTTGAACCTCGTAATCTTTAGTGAAGCTTACGTGAAACTAGTCCACAGTTGGTTGTGGTTGATCGACTCGAACAGGTTATATGTAATTTGTCGTTCTTCTGAACCATTGTTGAACCTCGTAATCTTTAGTGAAGCTTATGTGAAACTAGTCCAGAGTTGGTTGTGGTTGATCGACTCAAACATGTTATATGTAATTTGTCAAAGCTTTTAGCCGTGATGTGCATGAATAGATTTGTGGTGTAGATTTATAGTATTAGTTGGGAGCATGAACAGCAATCTCATTGCTTGCAACCTAGGTCAGCTTGTTTTAGATGAAATTCCTGATGTATTAAGTATATATCAATTGGTGTGCCTATTGTATCGCTCAGTACAGTTGATATTTGATGAGGTTGGTCATGGTCGGATTTTGATCTGTGTACTGGTATAGTTCAGTATGTATCGTGCGGTGCGGTATGGCCTCCGACGGACCTTGCCAGCCCCCAACTGATTGATTGGTTGATGATTTATTTTGTTTATATAATGCAGATTGTTTTTAGAAGGTACTGGCTCAGATGATAATTAATTATTTAAATATAAGTTTATCGTACAGTACGTTAATAGTTTGTTTGTATGATAAGAGTGCTGTTTGCAACTACTCTGGTGACAGCAATTTGGAGGATCAACAACAAATATAACGAAGGTTTGCAGTCTAATGCCATCAAGAGGGTGCAAACTTAGTTGATACATGTTCACATTAATTAATTCACATGAAGGCACACAACCAGCGTATAGATGCCTCGAGAAGCTTATTTGCATGCACTATTAAGGCTATTATGACATTCTTGGATCGGCAAGGAAATAGAGGAGCCTGAGACTCTCATCCTTTTGAACCTTCTTGGTTGTACATTCAAAAGAAGATTTTGGATTGATGTTGGATTGGGTCCAAACAGCTAAAAACCGTAATGATCTTTTGCTCAGAAGGCAGAAAGACGTACATGTCACGGTGGCGGCGGGACTGTTGTCAGGACGTAGCAATCAATGCACATCAGGGAGTTGGGTCTGTTGGACACGATTAATCATCGTTTTCAGTTTGATGACAAGATACATCTCCTTTGTAATCTATGATCCTATGCATATTGTAGCAACATGTACAACAATACATCAATAGAGACACCTTTCAATAGAAGATGGTGCAACATAGTTCTTCCTCGATAGATTTGAAAAGATATATATTTTTATCGTCTGAAATTTCTATCGATCTATAATTTTGATATAGTTTATTCTTATTTAATTTTAATTTATATACAAAAAATAAAAGAAAAATATCCTAATGTGTGTGTGTATATATATATATATATATATATATATATATATATATATATATATATATATATATATATATATATATATATA